TAATTTACTTTATTCCAGTTTTGTAGTCCGACTATAGCTCGTTTAAACCAAGTAACCTCACCTTACCAACCCTAAGGGCACCCTAAATTGTTTTTGAAATAAGTCTCTCTATTTCTTTACCAACTTCTTTCATTACAGATTGCCTACATAGTGACTGAGCGTCCTATGATCGCCTATTTTAACAAGAAATTCGTCAGCAACGTATCAGTGTTTAGCCGTCGGCGCAATCGGGACGATCCTATTTACTATATCAATTTTTACATTGATATTTTGGTGCCATTGGGAAACAATGTTTCGGTAAGAGTTAAATTTCATTTAAAACTAAGTTTCTTTTCTGTTTCCTACACATGCATATTGATTTGAGTAAATATAACATAACATCACGCCTTTTATCCCCGAAGGGGTAGGCAGAGGTGCACACAGAAGTACCTACAACCAACTTTTCACTATTTATGTTATGAGTCCTATGTAATAGGGGGTGAGCCTATTGCCATATCATCATCATCAACAGCCTATAAATGCCCACTGCTGAGCAAAGCCTCTTCTCACACGGAGAAGGTTAGAGCATTAATCACCACGCTTGCTCAATGCGGGTTGGCGATTTCAAACTTATAATTAGAAATTATAAGTCCAGGTTTCCTCACGATGTTTTTCCTTCACCGTTTGTCAGTGGTATCTAAATAATCTTAGAAAGTACATATAACTCGGAAAAAGTCACATTGGTACTTGCCGTTGGTAGGTTTCGAACCCGCACCCTCATGCATGAGAAGTGGGCGTCTTAAACCTCCGGGCCACCACGACATTATTTATTGCCATATACCGGGCACATTTCCAGACTCCGTGCTACTACTGAGATTTTTTTAAAAACCCAGTAATATTTTATGTAAACAAAGTGTCTATATTGTAAGATTCCTTGAGATTTGAGGCATGAGCACCTGTTAAACTGACGGTGCTCTAACTGCGATTGCAAATCGCCCGCCAAACTTGGCGTTATGGCTAACCCTGTCTAGAAATGAGAGATAATGCCTTTGTCCAGAGTCCAGAAGTAAACAAATTCCTTTTGATGACAACGACTTCTGAGATTTGTTATTTAAAGTCACTGAATCGATTTTAGTTCGCACCACTCGAGAATCATTGATTAAAACTGGTATATTTATGTAATTTCGTGTATTATGTTACTGTTACAGCTAGATATATATTTCTACGAGTTACAAAACGGTAGATACCACCGTACATTCGTAGAGATACACTCGAAACTGTGTGACTTCGTAGAGGCTGGCACGTTATTTGGGGACTCGTTGAAAAGAGCCATCAAAAACAACCCTTGTCCTTTTCAACCAGTAAGAACTACTTTGTTATATCTTGTACTTACTTACCCATATTTGGATAAGTCCTAGCCACGACGTCTTGGGTTTATTACTTTTGTCCAGCATAATATTGTTGTAATTTCAATGTTTACTGATGAGTTAAAATTTTTTTATGGGATAAGCCGGTAAACGAGCTCACGGATCACCTGATGGTAAGCAATCGGCGTCGCTCATGGACACCCGGAACACCAGAGGTGTTACAAGTGCGTTAACTGCCTTTTGGGGATTAGGAGTTTGAGGACCGTTGGGGATTCAGGGATTGGGGAGTTTGGGGAAGGGGAGGATAATTGGGCCTCAGGTAACCTCACTCACACGACGAAACACACCGCAAGCGTTGCTTCACGTCGGTTTTCTATGAGGCCGTGGTATCACTCCGGTCGAACTGGCCCATTCGTGCCGAAGCATGGCTCTCCCACACTTAACTTTTGATTTTGTTTAGATATAAAGGCGAAATAATCGTTGGTCCCTTCCCTACACACAAACTGATCGAGATGTAGCTACTTATTTAGTTTGTGAAAACTAACTCCAATGCGGTGAACCGTGACAACGCCGTTTATAAAATTACTTATTAAAAACAGCTATTATTTTTTAAATTTCAGGGTCACATCGCTTTGACTAATTTGACCATACCACTACAAAATATACCGAAAAACTTCCCGTACAAGCAAGGGCGCCTTTACTGCAATACTACTCTCATCCGAAATGGTGTTATCTCAAAATTAGCAGAAACCTACATTAATATGGAAGTCAGAAGTGGAATTGTAAAGAAATCAACTATAACTTAACAATAAAAAAAATTGGAAAATGTTTTAATTTTTGTTTTGTATCTTTTTTATTGGAATTAATATAGAATTAACTCAGAAAATATGGTAATTAATGTCCGTTTTAACCAACGCCTAACTAATTTTTTAAAAAATCCCTAAGCTGACATTTTGCTTTTCACCAATATTTGACTCCAGGAACTCCAGTTCTGAAGTCAACGGTGCCAAGTCTATTGGCGATATGTCCAAGTGCTGGGAGATCTATACGATGCTGCAACTATGCTCATCCAAGTACAGAACCAACAGTCTGAACCCATTTTTTATTTCTCCCAAATTATTTACCAATGCTTTGGAGGATATGTTCAAGACGCTGCACTGGAAAGGAAGGGGCATAAATATAAACGGCAAATATCTCTCACACTTGAGATTTGCAGAAATTGTAGTTGCATTGCAATTTTCTTTGCTTAGTGATATTTAATGCTAAATATGGTAGTTTCTTTGTAACTATGATGGCAACATTACTCTCCAAAATGTCAAATGAAAAATCGCATTCTATTCTATCTGTCATTCTGTCAAACAGATGTTGAATGTTGATGTTTACTTTATGCAAAAATGGGTGGAGGGGGATTGTGAAAATAAAATACTATTTTTCTCCTTCACATAACTAAATAATAATGCGGTGGAGTGAAGCAGTGACGTTAGAATTTGTTAAAATATATTTGAAGCACGAGTGTCTTTGGAATCCTTCACATCCGGGCTACAAATTAAGATATCAAAGAGAACAGGCCTATTCAGATATAAGTGAGGAATTCAAAGGTTCCACCATGAAGTCCATGAGTGTGCCCGAAGTAAAAATGAAAATTAAGAACCTAAGGACCACTTACGTACAACAAGTGCACAAAATATTGCAAAAATCCAGTCCCGACTCGATATATGAGCCGTCACTAGTCTGGTTTCATGAAATGGATCGATGTTTGAAACATATACCTAGTAATCGACATTCTAATTCTTATAACAATGTGAGTATAATACATACATACATACATGCATAACTTCACGCCTGTCTCCCATGGGGGTAGAAAGAGACTAGGGAACACCAATTACTACGATACGATTCTTACATACCTCTTTCGCTTCAATAACATAATATATATTAATTATAATCTAAAGTAGTTTATTATAATAGCTAATCATTATTTAACTTGATTCTCAACTCAATTAATTCGTTTATTTCAGTCTCAAGAACCTGCTGATGTAGATTCAGCTTGCCAAATCTGGGTCGACCAAGAGTTACAGAATACAAATATGGATCAAGTTAACCCCGATCCCTTGATCCCACAGACAGATGATGAATATGACTCTACAAAGTTAGATGAACAACCATCTAAAGTAAAAATTGAGAGACGATCATCCCCTATATACTATAAAAAGATTAAAAAGAAAAAGCTAAAACACAGAGCTACAGCAAGAAATTATTCAGCGGATTCAATCCAGCAATGTACAAAAGAAGATGAATTTGATATTTATGGTAAATATATTGCTACCCAGCTGAGGAAAATGGATCTCCACAAAGCTTTGAGGATACAGCTAGAGATTCAAAACCTTGTAAGTGAAGCGAGAATTTCAGACATTGTTTCCAGTGATTGATATAATTATGGAAAACATATTATTTCATCTAATGAGTCCTCCTTGTAAATAAGAAAGAATATCCCATCTGTATATGATTGTGTTGTATTATAACAATTAATATTATTAATACCAGTAATCTTAAGACCATTCTCAAAACAATAATATTTAGAATAATTTGGTACCATTAAGTATTTTATTATATGTATACCCTATGATATGTTTGTATATTGTTATGCAATTTCATACTAGATTTGTAACAAACTTCCAAAGTGCAAATAATGTAAACCAAAGAATAGTATTAAAAAATTGTTTAAAATGAGATTGATTTTCTTTGCAATACCTTTGCCTTGCCATCGAATCCCCCTTTTAAATTGAATTAACACTTCGGTTAATGAAGAAATGGAAAACATGTGTTTAAAGAAACATCAATCAACACAGACATGCAGATACACCTTCCTTTCCTACATTTTACTCAAAAACCCTGAAAACGTTTTAAAAATAAAATCGCATACTAACTATAAAATGTTCGTACAAAAAAAACATAAATGCTGGGCAAAAAGCCTCGTTCGCCGAAATTAAAAACGTAATCTATCAAAAATTGCGTTCCACGTTCAGCAGAACCCAATAATGGAGCATTATTTTGACAATTTGATTGACAATAGTTTGTTATTTGTTGTTGAATGTTGATTATTACAAGTCAACTCGAAACAATAAAGTAAATGGTTGTGTAATTGAATAGTTCTATTAAAATGCGGTGGAGTGAAAACGAAACATATCAATTCGTTAAAATATATCTAAGTCATGAACTGTTATGGAATCCTGAGCACGCCGCCTACAGAATCAAAGGTAAAAGGTTGAAGGCCTACAGAGAAGTAATCGCTGAATTAAACGAAATAACGGGCATACTATTAAATGTAACAGAATTAAAAATTAAGATTAAGAATCTCAGATCAACGTATATGCAGGAAATTGCTAAAATTAAACATCGATCCAGTCCAGATTGGTCATACAAACCGAACATGAAGTGGTTTTCTGAATGGCACAAACATTTTGGTGGGTTAAAGAAAGCTCCTGATGATTCCTCTACGTTCGACAGTGTAAGTAACCAATGTTATCTAAGGAGCTTTATTCTGCTTTTATACAAAATTACTTGATTGAGGCATTTCTCTACTTCGTTTCTTTCTATCATGACTTTACATACACGTTAAGACCTCCTGTGTATTTTGTTTTCTGTATGTCTAATAAATTTTGTACATTATAGATCATTCTATTAATCTAATCCATCACATATCTATGATATAAATAATTCTTTGCTTTGGTTTCCAGCAACAAGATTCTCTAGATGACGCAAACCAAAAAATATGGCTTTCAACCACGGACAACATGGAAGAGGAAACTCTGGAGCCATTCCCTACAGATAATGAATACACATTAATTTTAAAAACGGAACCCCGAGAAGTACCACAAATCAATGAAAGTAGATACCAGAATAAAAAGAAAAAAATGAACCACAGAAGGCCTAGTACAGACTGTTCTGGAACATTTGTGGAGAACTTAGACTCAAATATAGAGCCTTCTGCAAAAGAGGATGAATTTGATATCTATGGGAAGTATATTGCATCTCAGTTGAGGAAGATGGATTTACAGAAAGCATTGAGTGTGCAACTTGAGATCCAGAGTCTGGTTAGTGAAGCCAGGCTCTCAGGGTTGAATGGAAAACATTGAAATTAAATACTTTGCATAATTTAATAAGTACAAAACTTATAGTTTAGATCAGACTTATGCTACATATTTACTGTACCCTGTGGACATATGCAATGCAGATTGCCTTGAACCTAGTCAGCTCTGGAAGCAATATTAACTTTTTCAGTAATACATTTCATAACTGTAATTATGTCAGCCTGGTAATTAGACAAGAATATAACCATGGTGTGAAATCTAATGATTTAATTTTATTTTTTTTAATAAGTAATTTAGTTTTAAATTTAACTGCATCAGGAGTTGTCAGATCTGATATTAATAATATAATTTTCGGTTTATTCTACTGGAATATTGGATGTTTTTATCCAAGAATTAGTGAATTAATTAAAAATAAACTTTTAATAATATTCTCGTATTTTTTAATCCTGACATATATTTTCTATTTGAAATCAGATATTCACTTAAATGAAGGTAATATTTGTCCAGTCAAGTTTCGTAGAAACGAATCTGAATGTGATATCAAAGTTCTTAAAATTATTTACTATTAGTCGCTGAACTGAGACCAGCAAACAAAAATATTTTGTTCGAACCAAAAAACCATGGCCATCTTAACTTAAAGTAAAAATTCAAAAGGAAGATAAAGAAAACCAAAGTTGCAAGTCTGATTTTTTATTGCTGTTACAGCATCTGTTTATAATACAAACAAACATTATCACTTACATTTCACTAGTGAAAATTCAAATCGTTCCATTGTACGTTTGTTCCTACGCACGATAACGTTCCCGTAGGTCTCGTCCGGTTTCATGAAAAAATATACATCGGTATCTGCTGCGTACAGATTTCATATTCGAAAATAATAATCACATCAAGTCTAAATATCTAAATTAAGTACTTTCACAATCATTTTACGTAGTTCCAAAGTAAGGTAAGGAAAGGAAGTCAAACTTCATGGGCAGTGCGCATCCGTTATAAATAAAAAAAAAACTAAACGCCTAAAACTTAGATTTACAAATAACTGTAAAGGTCGATACACACTGTCCGCACCGGAACGTTAATCTCACTCAACTATTATAAACACAAATTCCACGTGATGTGACATAGATAGTTACACTTGAAAATGTGATAACAACCTCATTTTAAATACCTAACTGATACATGTAAGTGTATGCTAACTTCTGATATAAAATACGACTGACTAGCGACATTGAAATCCGCGGCAGTGTAGTATCGACCTTATATAAGACTAGAGTGAACGGTACAAAATCTCAAAAATAATACGGAAATGTTCATTTTTTATACTTTTGTTGTATCCAATATGCGTTATATCGCGTAACTCTTGTGAGTGTGAAAGCTCTTTAAAACCTTGTATACTTATATTGTAGATATTTTTTAAGAAGATACTAAAAATAATACAACAAAATTTGTTGTGACGTCTTAAGATAAATACAGCTCAAAACACTGAAAAAATTAGCGCCAGAGATAAGTTTAAACTTATGCTATTTAACGTTAATATTAAATTGATACAAAAACAATGCTTAACAAGAACTTATACGGAGTAAAACACAATACACGAGAGCTTAAAGAAACTATAAAGATAATCACCAATTGATCCCAAAAAACACAACATCAACAACCGTGTCACGATTACAACCATAGTGCAAAAAATGTTGAGCCAACAAAACATACACGCTGTGAAGTACTGGGATCATTCTATATCTACCAAACAAGTATACAAGGCCGAGCAATATATAGGCAGAATAAATTGGCACACAAAAACACCTCAAATTGAACGTATCAACATCGAAAACAGTGCGAAAATGAACGCACTTTACAACCAATTAGACTACGCTATACGAATCCATCATTATACTATGTTCATACAATTCCGTCGCTTAGTAAATTAATAGAAGGTTTTATTTTATTATAAAATTAATTGTACTATTGTATAAATGCAACAGAGTCGATTTTGGAAGCTGGTTACAGTGGGAAGAACGTAATTATAAGTCTATCGGCATTATGGTATGGATGGATGAATTTTATTGAGAACTACCGGTTTTGCTCACCAGATGGCACTACAGATCTCTCGTCTTTTCGTCCAATAGGGAGTTGGCTAGTGTCAGACCATTGGTAATTTAATTTTTGACAGCTACAGTGATAAAAAATACCTCTTCCTATATTTGTGCCATCTATTTAGCAAAAATACGGTAGCTTTTTTGAGAATTAATACCTCATTGTATATTCTTAACCAGTCGGCAATACAAAACTACATCAATAATACTATTTTTTTCTAAAAATAAGTCAAAACAAGTCTTTGTTTTGCTACAAATCTCTTTTATAACTTATTATAAAAAATTAAAGTCAGTCGAATTTGTCCTCATAGTTAGTTTGTACCTAATGATAATTAACCATAAACACAATTACTAAAACACACACAGCTGTATTTATACAATGAGATATTATTCTTAACATTTTTAAAAATTATTTTAAAACTATTGCTTACATAGAAATCCATGTTCGAAGAAACAAAACGCAAAATTTAAAAACAAACAATGTCCCTTCCAAATTTAAAAATATAACAGTATTTGGTGCCAGCACCTTTAGAGGCGGGACATGGTCCTTTTTTAAATAGCGCGTTGTGCAATATTTTTGAAAATAACCGTCTATTTATACATAGAAAGTCTATTTAGTATATTTGTAAGAGATTCTATAAAAATCTGTGGATATCAGTTGCAAATCTTCAAGCTTTTAATCTCAATGGACAGTAGGTTAGAGCAGTTGGCCATTCTGACTGATATATAGCAACAAAAATCATTATTTTGAAAATCTAAGACCCCAAACTTATAATATAGCGCCAATAGAAAGATTTACCATAGTTAAGGAGTTGCTAAATAAAATACTAAGCGAGGTTTTCAGCTGTAAAGCAGGCAAGGTCAGTTTTTAAATGAATTTGTGACCGTTAAAACATATAGACAATATAAATCGGTTGTCCTTTGCAAATTTTGCAGCGTCAATTAATTTTTATCGGTCAATATAAACCTCAAAGCAAGATTTGAGTTGCAAAGTGATTCCACAAGTTTTTCAATTTTAAATGAATAAGATATTGTGCTAATACAAATTGTTTGGGGTATAATCTTTTAGGCGAATATTACGTATGTGTACAACTTATTGTAAAGGAAGAAAGTCTATGAATATCTGTAGTTTCTTTTTCATAATACTGGCCATGGTTCAATAAACTAATTTTTAAAGCAGATTTAGAATCTTTCCCAAATGTTTAAGTACGAATTTTCAAGTTATCAAAAACCCACAGATATCCTTAGAATTAAAAAACAGAAGCAGTTTTACCAAACCGGAACATCTGTCAAAATCACAACTGTCATGGTTCCCATCATCTGTCAAAATGCTGTCCCACGTCAAACAATACTCAAATCGCAAGTTCAACAAGAAAATGTGGGCGCCACGCCGGTAGTTCTCGAACATACCGCCAGCCAGCGCCGCACGTAAATACAGACAAATTTGGACTAAAAACGTCGAATAAAACTACAAATTTAATATACAAGGAAGAAGACTCGATCTCAGATCTTAATTTGTACAATTTATCACATAAAATTCAAAAAGAACACGCATATATTTAACTGCAGCAGCGAGTCACACAGAGGACTGTTGAATTGTTGATCACACAGATTATGCTTGAAGAGATCTTTGCACGGTCACATAATTATGAAGAAATGCCGAAAAATGCAGGGACTCCTTTGTCGTTGAAAAATGTATCTTAAGGAATGACTTTAAGATTCACTTTTCAACGAAATGCAATTTAGTCTGTTTGAAATGTTATTTATTCGCTGGTTTGGACGCAGTTACAGGCTAGAACATGACCGTAATTGTGCGCACAATAAAGCGAACGCCGTCGTCATAGTGTCAGAGACAGTTCTCGGGAGTTACACACTCCGGAGGAATCTCATATCGATAAATACCAAAGGGTAAAGTCACCACAAACGTGTGAAATTCAATTATTTTAATATTATGAAAAAATAAACGCTCTGTCTTGAAATATGTACGTACACTGTTACAAAACTAACACACTTGTTATTTTTTATATTTTAAGTATATCCAGTTGAATTTCTTAGACTACCGATATTTGTATGGACATTTGCGGACGATTGCACTTGACTCGAGTTAAGAATGATCAGTAAAATTCCAAAAAGAAATGCATCAGTCAAGAACAGAAAATTTCAAAATCAATCTTAACAAAATGTCAGCCAAGTCTACCGCCTGCTTTCGACTTAGACTTACAAAAAAATCACTTTTAAATTTTAACTAACACAATAAATTAACGAAAAACATCTTGTCAGCTTGCGTTATCAATTAGAAAACAAAAAAAAACAAATTGAGATCAGAAAACGCCCATACAAAGACCAGCACAGCTTGGGTAAGGGTCGAAGCTCGGTTTAGGAAGAACGCGCAAGGTCTTAATATTTCTAGATTTTATCTGTCTATGCTAAAGTATTGTCTAAATTATTTCAATACAAACCTACAGGTACTCGGTGAATTTAGTTACGAATTGCCAGGTATAAATTTGAATGTACCGGCGATTTTACAGCTTAAATGTCCATTTAAATGCTATGTTACCGGTTATTGATTCTTGTATCTGGCAATACTCTTCACAGTAGATCAACTTCATGTCAAATTCTCACAGACCTTAGAATGCCACGTTGTTTTGTATCATCACTAAATATAATTTGTTCGTGTCACAATCACCACACAGAATTTCTTAACATTTTCGTACAATCTTGCTGTAACCTAGTTGTCGTTTGGTGAAGTAAGTTAGACAATACTTGCTTGGCCGCGTTCGTTCCTTGGTTCAGGCGTCGGAGCACTGCGCTAGTTGCTTGGGCGTGTACACGGAGGCGTTGGGGTCCAGGGGTGATCCGTCCGAGAGTCGAAGCTTGGACACCGCGGCACTCGACGGCGCCACGAACTCCGTCGGCATCACCGCCAGCATTTGAGCTTTCAGTTCCTCTATTTCTTTTTCTTGTCTTGATATTAAGCCTGAGAAAGATATCACATGAGTTAATGAAATGAATTTCTATATCCTTATCATAGGTCAGTCTTGCTTTTGCAATAAGGTTATAACTATGCAGAGTATCCTCACCGTCCTGTATGCTGAGCTTGCGTTTAGCATCGCCCAGCGCGGAGAGCAGGTCCAGCTTGACCCGTGTCTCTGCAGAGAGCGAGTGCTCGAGATGGTGCAGACGCTCGGCGGCGGAGTCGAAGGCGCCGGCGGCGGGCGCGGGCGCGCGGGCCAGCGCGGCGGCGCGCTCGCCGGCCAGCGCGGCGGCCCGCTCCCGCGCCGCGCGCAGCTCGCGCCGCAGCAGCGCGCCCTCCGCCTCGGCCGCCGCGCGACGCGATCTGCACGACTCGCTCTCACATTCCCCACTGCAATCACCACACGGGAATTCTCAGATGACTGTTAGCTTCGTATATATGGTATCGTAATCGTATATCGTAATCGTATATATCGTAATAACAGAAGCTAGAAAGAAACCGTAACTTTTATCACGATTTTAGGTTTTTGTTAATTTTTGTGTTGAATAATTTTATTTTATGCTTGAAAGAGCCACCATACAATTACCTCTTAAAATATTTATTGTTGAAAACAATAAAAGTTTTAATTCTGTTTGGTTTTGTGTTACATTTAAGAAATAAAATCACGAAACAAATCAATTGTTTTCTGTATTAATAACAATTATATTAAATGTAATATATAAATATCCCGAAACTGGAACCGGAACTTTCCCGAAAAAAATTTATTAAAGAAGTCTCCACTTTTTGTTTTTGTTCCTTGAAGTTTAGGTAAATTAGCTCACCTTTTTCCGATCACTGATAACGACGCTACTCAAAGAGTTAATGAAGATTAAAACAAAAAAAAATACATAAAATGTGCATTATTATCAGTAGTGGCAGTGTTCGACCGACTACATTCACGACTAAGTGTTGAAATAGCTACAATTTACACATAAACATATGAGACATAATAAGTAAGATATGTACTTAGGCGTCCGTGGCTGGTGCCTGGCCCGTAGCAGTTGGTTCTCTGCGTTAGTGCGCGCGCGGCGCTCGTCCGCCAGTCGCCGCTCCAACGCCGCACGCTCACCCGTACGCCATGCGTTCACTCTGTAATTACAATAAAACAAATGTTAGTAATATACACAGGTAATTGTAAAAAATAATACATATCTTTTAAGCAAACAGCCTTTCATGACATGTTTTGCGCAATTAACAACATACATTTTATTCTCATTGCGCAAACTTAGTACAAATAATTGCGCAACACACTGTAAGCGTTGCGCAAAATACAACTCAATGCTCAAATAGTATTCTTCTTTTAAATAGTTTCACTCTTGACAGAGTGGTCGTGGTCGTTAACTATTTAATTGTCGCTAGATAAATATCGACGGCCAAACTTCCGCTAACTATAAACATATTTCGTGGATAAGGCACTTGACCGATTGAACAGTAACCGGTTGAGTGACAACTTTTATTACACGAAGCTGCTATTATCAATTTTCGTCCAGTAATGAATGAACACTCATAAACCGACAAGGCAGTTTGCAGCAAGTCATGAAGTCATAAGCCAGTTGTGTTCCATACTTGTGCTGCAGCGCGGCGTGTGCCTGCTTGAGCTGCGCGTGGTCTGCGCGGCGCTGTCGCTCGGCGGCGGCGGCGGCGGCCAGCGCGCGCCGCGCCTCCGCCTCCGCCGCGCGCGCCGTCGCCAGCTCCGCGCGGACACGCTTCAGCTCTTCCATACACTCGCGGGCTTCGCGCTGCAAATGAAAACCAATATTCAATCGTCAAGACAAATTAACATACATAAAACATGGCATGAAATAGTTAAATCTATTTAGATAAAAATGAATTTCCGTTCGTTAGTCTCGGTAAAACTCGAGAACAGCTAAACCGATTTGGCTAATTTTGGTATTAAAATGTTCGTAGAAGTCCAGGAAAAGTTTAAAAGGTGGTAAGAAGTTTGCCTGGTCAGCTAGTCTACTATAGATTTTCATTTTTAAATGTATAGCCTGCCAAGTCTCGGGCAGCTTAATTTTCATAAATTTTAAAACCATTATTTTCATGCAAATCTTACCACCAAATATTAAATCTATGATTAATCTCATTCGCCTCTGCCGCGAAACATAGCCTTGATGAAAAAAGTAGTTTTAGTATCTAAAACAGTACCCCACAAGGACAATAAGATTTAATATTTTACCTGTTCGCGTTCTCGCTCCCTCTCGCGTTCCTTGTCCCGCTCTCTCGTCTCTCTCTCCCGTTCTCTATCTCTTTCCTTCTCTTTCTCCTTAGCCTCTTTGTTACTGCTTTCCTTAATTTTTACACAATCTTTTGTACTCTCTACTTCTTTATCTTTAACTATTTGTTCTTTTGCTGAAACGGAAAATATTAGTTTATAGATAAATATATACTTATTTATTACGCCCTAGTGTGTGAAATGATCTAATGATTCTGCGTGTTGCTGGAGTATACTGGCTAGATACAGCAAAAAAGTGAGAAAGATGGCATTCTCTGGAGGAGGCCTTCACCTCAGTGGTTCTCTCAAAGTAAACCTTTTATTATGGAAATGTAGTTATATTTTTCTTTATACAAATTAGGAAATTCAGGTCCTTTTTATTTATTAAAATTTTTCTTATCCCTTCATTTGAAATAATTATAATTTTTGGGCCAATTAATGTTGCATATTTTCGGATTCTTTTAAATGGTGTGTGGTGTGGTTATCTAGTTTGATAATAGTGGTGTATACTTACTATGTTCTGTACTCTTATGACTATCGATACTGTCCTTATCCTTATCTCTGTTTTTATTCTTTCTTTTTTCTTCTTTTAATGTGCTAGCCTCTTTCTTTTCTTTTTCTGCCTTCGAAGACTTTGAACCACCTGAAATGAACAGTCATGTTACTTAATATTACAGATATGAAAGTTTGTGAATGACTTTGTGTGTATGTTTTTTACTCAATCACATCAACACGGCTGACTACTGTTTTATTCCACAGAAATGCGGGCGAAGCTGTTGGCAGAAGCTAGTTTAAAAATATTTGAAACACAAAAAGAATATGGCCAATTTATTTGGTATAGTGTTGTACCTTTACTGTGGTCATGTCTGTCGTCGTCGTCTGGCGCGGCGTGGCAGGCCGAGCCGTTGCTGAGGGCGGGCGCCGAGCTATGCGCGCTGTGCGGGCTGTGTGCGCTGTGTGCGCTGTGTGAGCTGTGTGAGCTGCCCGAGCTGTGCGAGCTGCCGTTTGACGCGTGGGACGCCTTCTCGCGTATTGCATTTGTATGCGATACTTGCTTCTCTATTTTGTCTACCTGTAAGTTGGGTAAATTAACATGTTCTTATTATATGTCGACTACTTACTGATGATATAGTAATATTACCAGTAGATCTGGAACATAATTAGTAAATGATGTTTAGAACAGATAGAAAATAGTGTAAATTTTTGAAAGGTAAAAGACTCAAATAAAAGGCTTTACAACTTCAACATGCATTAGTTATTTTTGCATAAAATACTTATTATTTAGTAGGTTAATTATAAGCACTAGAACTCAAAATGAATACTCGTGAGGAGGGTAAACTATAACTCTGTGCTTTTTTAGACTATGACATACATACATAACATAACGATTTTTATCGCTAAAGGGGTAGACAGAGGTGCACATTACGGCACTTATTTCCACTGAGAGGCATAATAACCAGTGTATTCAATGCTAGTTACCTTATTGGATACATGTTCCGGCGGACAGTGACCGTTGTGGTCGGCCGTCTTGTACCGACAGCGCCGCAGCGAGCCGTTGGCGTACCGCGCGTCCGGCGACGGTGCCTGCGACGCGGCCGGCGAGCACTCCGCGCCGCCGTTAGCGACGTCCTTGCCCGCCACTTGGGTTTGTGACTGCGACTTAACAAACACGTCGCTTAATGATCCCTTGGATTCTAAATATTTTAATCCAACCACGGATGGGCGAATACTATTAAATATCTTTAGAATTTTATTAAATGTCAGTATATCGTATGAACTCTATTTAAGACAAGTGTTTATGCTAAACATATTTCAAAGTTATCAATAATGAAAGGTGAAGTAGTATACACTGTTTAGATTATGATTGATTTTTGAATTTTTGTTTATGTAAATTAAAGTTTCAATGTTTTATTGTAGACAATGAATTCTAACTAACATTATGTACAGCTACACATAGAAATACCTACATGGTAACAAAATCACAACACTTAATTACATAAAGTAAAATAAAACCTTATTTATGACTGACCTGGTCTAGCGCAGACTCAGGTAGCGCGTCCCGCATGAGTTGGAAGTAGAACTCATTCATTGCACGGACGTGCCTCTGTCGGCGTTGTCTCAGCCGGTGTGCTATGAGGGCCTTCGCCCCGAAGCCCAGCGTGACCACCGGGTACCCGACGCAGTGCGCCGCTAACGGCCTGCAGAGCTCCCCAGCGCCCGCGCGGGACCCCCGCCAAAGACCTTCCACGTACACCAGTATGCAGCATATTGCTACTGTCGGTACACAGATGCCTTTATCTGCAACTGTAATAAAAATATACCCCTTAAAGAAGTTGACTAACAATTTTTTTTCTTTGAACGTTGCCCCACACTGGGTTTTTCTCCTGTGTCGTGGGTGCGTTTATAAACATACAAGTCGACATACACATGACACCCAGACCCGGAACAACAATCTGTGGATCAAACAAACAGTTTTTCCGTGCGGGAATCGACCCCGCGACAAGATGCGCGGCAGCCTTCAATCAATATGTGCAATAATGTACCCCTACCTAGCTTAATGAAGAACAAATCAATCAATGGCGTGATATTTGATTACGTCATCATTCTAAAAGTCATTGAGGGAGCATGGGAATGGGGTAAACCCTACACGTTGAAAATCATCCCCTTTTGTTCATACAAAAGTAGTCTCTAACCATTGGAAATAAGGTCTATAATGTAGTTAGTGGAGAGCGGTCACCGGTGACCGTTTGGGTATCCCAATGGGTCGTCATTCTAAAAGTCATTGAGGGAGCATGGAAATGAGGTCAACTCTAATCACATGCGAGTTAAAAACATGATACGGTTAAAAGAGGTGCGCATCTCTGCCTACCATAGCTCTATGGAAAATAAACCGCGCGATTTTGTGTTTCGAATATTTCCGTAATGCATGCGAAATTATGGCGTAATAGCTTTTAATAGTATGTAGTAGTGTAAACACTATCTATACAAATACACATATATTATAATACACACATACGTATTATAATGTAAATTATAAGGAAGCCAAAATGTATTTCTGGTTCTCTCATAAACTAAATACACCATGTTCGCGACAAACTTGCAAACACACTTTACAATTTTCGGTAAAATATCCTAAAGTACAACATCTCGTCTTCTCTTGAGTTCCGGTGTATAAGACACCATCCTTACTTCCTTACTATATTATATTATCCTTACTATTATAAATGGGAAAGTGAGTTTGTTTGTTCTGCCTTCACGCCGTAACCTCTAAACCGATTGCTTTGAATTTTTGCAGACCTAAAGTTAGAAGTCTGGATTAAATAATAGGGTACTTTTTATCCCGGAAAATTTTGATTATCCCGAGGGAAAACCAAAGTATTGGTATAGATGGCGCTGTGTGTATTGGTATATGTCGCATAGGCTACTTTTTATCCTTTTGTGACGCGAGCGAAGCCGCGGGTAAAAGGTAGTAGAAAATACATTGTGTTTTGAGTATATCTATGTTCCGGTATACCACAGGTTAATTCCTGAACTTATTCGGGGTCGATAGAGATCTACATATCTAACGCTTATTGGCTATTGTTATTGGATATTCATAAGTTTATAAAGGCAGCCGTCAAAGGTATGTTATCAAAATAATTAAAATAGATTAACATATATAATACAACAGGAAATAGATTCCATCAAATCTTAACCTAGCGATCGATCATAGATACCAGAACATAAGATTAGCAGTTATATTAACTACAACTTATCCAACGAGTCAATTTATTAAAATAAAATGTCCCCATAAAAATAATAGAGAATCGAAATAGGTAAAAATAAATGTGTTACGGCCTCATTTGTCTAATGCACCTTCTTAAAATATTCCATTCCATTCACTGATTAGAAAAAGTAATTATATTTATTTTTTAATGTCTATGTTACCTGTAACCTACTTGTGACGTCATTACTGAATATCTTCATGTAAAATTCATAGATATGTGCTACATATTTGGTTATTATCGATTTATTGTACTTACTATCTTCTAATATTAATCAGGAAACTCTATTTTGGTAACATAAAATGAAAATTTTGATAAACCGAAACTCCCAATATTTTTTTACCCGGGAATCAAACAAGAGATTTCACTTTGCTTTTTAGTATCTCTAACGTTTATTCGACTACTCATTTCCGCACAGACTGTCAAACAAGGGGTATCTAGTTCAATTTCGGTAGATCAAAGCCTATAGCTGATTTTTTTTCAAAAATGCTCATATATTCATATTATATGGCAAGAGGCTCATACGCTAATACATGGAATGATGTGACTTATAACATAACTGATGCCATTGTAAATATAAAGATTCTACAAAATGACTAGAATTTGTTACATACACATACATACGCCCACGTTAAGAACGGCTATCAGTAATAATGTAAACATGTGTGATGTGGGCATCAAACCCACACTACACAGTAGAATTACTAATATCTCAATCAACTGTGGCATACTAATGACAGATATGGGTCCTAAATTTATGTGAGAACTTATGTGAGATTTTACATTAAAAAATGTTAGAAATATTATACACACATAACATCACGCCTTTTATCCCCAAAGGGGTAGGCAGAGGTGCACATTATGCCACTGTACAATGTATCACCCACTTTTCACTATTTATGTTATGAGTCCCATGTAATAGGGTGTGACCCTATTGCCATGTACCGGGCACAATTCCAGACTCCGTGCTACTACTGAGAATTTTTAAAAACCCGGTAATACTTTTTTTATGGTATAGGAGGCAAACGAGCAGACGTATCACCTGATGGTAAGCGATCAGCGCCGCCCATGGACACCCGCAACACGAGAGGAGTCACAGGTGCGTTGCCGGCCTTAAATTTTGCCGCACTTGCGACTAATCAGAAAACGAATAAAAAAATATATACTTACATGTGTACCAGACATATTGTACCCACACATAGGTACTGGCAGCAAAGAATATGTACTGTAAGGGTATGAAGAAGAAACATATCATATCTGATGTGAGTGCTATGCAGATGAAGAATACTGAGAATGCCTGGAACAAAACAAAATTAACTTTAATATACAGACCATTATAAAGTATTTATTTGTAGTAATTTCATTATAATTTTAGAAGGGAATAGCAATGGGCTCTCTCCCTATGACATGGGACTCATAACATAACTGGCTGAAGATGTTTCACTGGTTTTGTGTGCATGTGCACCTCTGCCTACATCTTTGGTTTGAACTGTCAAACAGCGCGAGGACACCGGTGACCGCAACCTATTGTTCTTTAATTGTGTCTATAATGACGATACTCAAAGAGTTAAAAGGTTAATTTTTCTGTTTTATGTGATAAGCCGGCAAACGAGCAGACGTATTACCTGATGGTAAGCAACCGGCGCCGCCCATGGACATCCGAAACACCAGAGATGTTACAAGAGCGTTACCGGTCTTTTGGGGATAACGAATTTGAGGAATGTTGGTGATTCAGGGATTGGGAAGATTGGGGAGGGGGAGATAATTGGGCCTCCAGTAACCTCACTCGCACGACGAAACACAGCGCAATCGTGGTTTTACGTCGGTTATCTGTGAGGCCGTGGTATCACTCCGGTCGAGCCGGCCCATACGTGCCGAAGCATGTCTCTCCTAGATCATATGTCTGCAGGGTTAGTGCAATGGTTAAGTGAACAACTGCTATGCCTTCTCTTATAGATTCGATTCCGACATTTTACATAATAATCTTATTAGCAGAATGGACAATGCGACTGTCGAGCAGTCAAGCAATAAGTTTCTTATTCGATTTCCAGATCGCGCTATATACTCTTGGATTAAATATAACTCAAAACAAACTGCTTAAAAACATGGTTATCAGATAAATCGTCAAAACCTAATTGCATGTATCGGATCGAACCTAATACCTCACGTATAGCAGTCTCGCTTTCGATCACAAATCTAATAAGACATTCAAATTAAAACGGGAAATCTTATAATATTTTCTTTATATTCCTTATTTTAGTTGATTTTATATATAACACACCTGAACTGTATTATGCGTCATAAAATAACAGTAATACAATTTTTCATTATGTTAAGTGGAACATGAGAATTAGAACTAAATGAAATAAATATTTAAATCCTGGGAGTTTAAATATTGTTCCGCTTTAAGACAATAGCAGATAACTTTCTCTTTTTATAGTACTCCCATAGCAGATTAGAATTACATTGTAACTTAATTAATAATCTAGGTATTTCTTTTAAACTGTGACCTAATGACCTCAGTAACGACTTAGTGACATATCACTTGGTGCCTGCTGAATATTGGTTTTGTTATTTTTCATTCTAGGATAATGCAATTTTTCCCGGTATATGGCAATGGTAATGACCCTATTAGACTTCTGCCTACCCCTTCGGGGATAAAAGTTGTGATGTTATGTTATGATTATGCATATGCCTGGACATTGTACTGTACCCACTGCTTTCCAATAAGCTTGTAGTTTATTAAAATGGAAGTAAAAACATAACTGAGACTTTCAGTCAGATAATTACATGCAGGAAAAACAGGGACAAAATGTTTAAACCAGTTCCTTTTCTTACTTTAGGAAATATTTTATAAATGCATCTAATATCATGTAAATAAAATGAATTAAGAAATGAAATTGTAATGTTATTTATGAATTAACTAAACCCGCGATTTTAGTTAATTTAGTATGTCTCACGATAGTTATTATAGTTATTTATGAACTTACTAGACAAATAAAAATAAATTAAATAAATAGTATTGTTTACTTTTTTTACTTTTAGTGGAATACCAGCGCAAGGCCCTTACTTGCACATGCTGAACTGGTTCCATTTCACCGCAGAGTTGGGACATGAATTAGTATTTATAAACTGACACTATAATCTGTACATTGCACTTGTTTTACTGTGTTAAATGTTTTTTCTTCATTTCTAACTATGTTTACCAGTTTAAGATTTTTGTTATTTAAATTATAATGTAGTAAATAATTAATTTATAAAATGACACTTACCAGTCCTTGATATTTGAATGAATCATAGACTGATCTCAGCATCATCCAGAAAGGCCAGAGGAACTCAAATCTGAACTCCAGCATATAGTCAGCCATGACAACTGTTGCCCAAATCATCACAAACTTCAGGTACAGCATTGAACTGAAATATAAATGATTATTCAATATATTGTAAGGGAAATTTCAGCTAATTACAGTTGCAATTTGAATTAAGTCACACAGGTCCACAGGAAGAAATTCCAATAGGAATAGATGGTCCTTTGTACTTTAATTTTATAAATATGTTATCCTTTATGTTGTATGTGTGTACATATATAATAAGTAAATAAGTTGTTTTAATTATATTTTCTAATACATATATTATTTTATGTGGTATTTTTTATTAAGAGATTTATTTTTATGCAAATTTCATTAATATTATAATTGTGACAGATTTTTAAAGCTTCTTTTTTTATATAACTACTTTATCATTTAACTTGTGAGAAAGCTACTAAAGGGATATAAACTATAGAATAAAGATAGTCTGAAAAAGGATTTTTACCCTGGGATTGCAGGTGACATTGATAGCAAAATATGGTAAATATTATAGTGATTCAGTAATATTTAATTTATTTAATTTTATCCTTATGTAGTGATATGTAGTGAGACAAGGATTTTCATAATGAATTATCCTTGTTAATAAAATTACATTACATTACATTTATCTAACCTATGCACTATATTACAATTGCACAACTTTTGTAATTACAAAACTTTGCTACTAGGTAAGCTTTTTTATAAAAATGAATATGAATATAAATATATTTAACTTTTGGAGAAGGTTTTTTCTTTCTAATATTTTTTTATTTGTAGTAATTTTTGTTTTATCACCTTTTTAAGCATGTGAAAGTGTTTAGTGTAGTATTGATAAATGGGTTAGTAACAATACATATTTTTTACTTATCTCTAACTTAAGTTAGATAAAAGCTTTTGTTATCAAAATGTATGTAGGAAAAAAATTGCACTTAATTTTTAATTGTTCCCTGATAATTTATTAGATATTGTTATTGATTTTTTTATTATAGTGCCAGTGTTTACAGTATATTGTATCTGCATGAATTTACTTTATTGAGTTATTAAAACAGTAGTATAACGAGTATTCTAACTAGATTACCTTAGTAACAACTTTTATCATCAAAATACATCAATGTTTGTCTAATTATGTGAAATATTATCAACTTTAAGTTCGGTAGGTATTCCTACATGTTGGAATCAAAATAGACGAGTCTACCTAGCTATGTTTACATATGCTCGAATTGTATATTTTTAATTTGGTATTCTCGTCATGTTTCGTCAGACTCGTTGATCAGCACGACCAATTCAACATTGGTGACATGCAGTCTACACATGTTGCACATTCGCACACATTTTATAACAAAAAACGCGTATTTTCAATTCTTTTTGTTTTCGCACCACACAGAAGGTGGGCTGCAATCGCCAGATGGTACTTTCTACCCACATACGAGATATATTCTGCAATATTTATGTTAACTTTATCACAGAATTAGATACCGCACGATACAATAAACCATTTCCTGGTAAATAATGATCAACATAAACAGTATCCACTCACTTTCCGTACATTCCTTCGGTGATTTTTGTGCGCTTCAAGGGGCGCCGCAACTTCCCAGTTTCGGCATTTCGCCGCTTCATATTTTTTCATCCACTGTGTAAATCACGAATACAGGCGCTCGTTTCACAACACTTATTTACAAGGAAACATTTAAAACAACAATGATCCTCAAAATAGTGGCTTTTGTTGTCAATCAGCCTATGTCCAAAATTTACGAGGGAGATGGATGAAATATCGGCAAGCTTTTTTTTGCGTTCACTCACACACTAAATGTTGCCTGATTAAGGGTAAAAAACTTCCACTTATATTAAAATAGTAGGTTCTACCCACAATAGGTCAGCTAATGTTACAAAAATAAATAATGCCTTAATTGCTAAGTTAATTTGTCGTAAGAAATAAATTGATACTGAATATTCTTATTGTAATAATAATAATTCTTATTGGGATGGGACGGTTAACATATGTCGGGCATGTGCATGTTATAGTCCTGGTGAATCCATTATACATAATTATTATTTCTGGTCGTGGTCGTTTGGATAACAGTGAATATTTGCAATCGCATCAAAAAAGAGAACGAGGGATACAGCTGAAATTTGAAATAGAGGTAGATTATTGATTGGAATTACATACAGACTACTTTAATCGTATGGGAACGCGAAAGAACGGCTTCACTGGCAGAAGTTGGTACTCAATTAAATTTTGATGAACCCACAACTCAAAGCCACGCTTGCTAGCAATTCCATCAATGATGTCGTGTTTGTTGATTGAATGAATTTGTCTGGTTGTTCATCAACTTGGTATTCATAGTCGAAGTCGAAGTAAGTGTGACGAAGTGACGGACGAATCATGAAAAACGTGATTCTACCATAATGGTAGTTCTGATATAGGCCAGCAACACCGGAATACGAGTAACTGTTTATAAACTAATGACCATTAGTTTAGTTTGGTAAATGAACCAGTAAAAAACGTTATGCATTTCTATCCAATAGTATCTTTAACATATTTTTTGATTATTGATGAAGACTGTGGCCTTGTGACCTTGACAAATGTTGAAGACATATTTGTTTTCTAATCTGTGTACGGAAATTCTTACCTGTTTACGGAACTGTCATTGTGTGTGTCATTTGTCATTGTTCATTTCATGTTGACATTTCAGTACTTTCCTTTCAGTTACCTATTTTGTTTGTAAATAGTGGGAAAATCGAAAGAAAACTTTTTACAATATATTTCATAGTTTTAAGTACATAAACTAACATATAATAAGGTTACTAAACCCTTACTAGTGCGTGAAATTAGTGGTCACTACTAAACGTGTATTTTTGTCCCAAAACTGAAATTAAATTACGTACATGTTCTTATAACTTGGTATAATGGATGTAAGCCGGTTGTACCAGTACTTGATATGAAGAAGTTTAGGTGGAATATCAAAGAGTTACAGCATGTCTTCTCTCATGAACTCGGTGCGCCAATATTTGGCCTCTCAGCACATGTCGGTTGTCGACGACTGGCTAGCTGGGTAAGTCATAATAACTATTAGTACATACAATAGAATGCAGGAAGAGCATAATTAATTCATATTCAAATCAGAAAATCAGTTTCGAGTCAAAAATTCCACTATGAACTCAGTGCAAACTAATTTGAAAAATATCTATAATACTTTGCCCAACTAAGGAATCGAACCTATTATGTACTAGCTATTACCCGCGGCTTCGCTCGCGTCACAAAAGGATAAAAAGTAGCCTATGTGACATAAACCAATACACACAGCGCCCGTATATACCACTACTTTTGTTTTCCCTCGGGAATATCATTTTTTTCCAGGATAAAAGTACCCTATTATTTAATCCGGACTTCTAACTTTACTTCTGCAAAAAATCAAAGCAATCGGTTAAGTAGTTACGGCGTGAAAGTGGAACAAACAAACAAACTCACTTTCCAATTTATCATATTAGTAAGATAAACAAATTGTATCCTTTTTTTATTTCAATTCCAGGTGTGTAGAATATCTTTCAGAAGACACAGAAAACAATTATAGCGAGGGTGATATAAAGAAGCTAGCTAAGGAACAATGGTTGTTAAATGATTTGAAGGAAATATGCCCTGGGTCTCTGCCAGCAAACCTCAAGGGTCAGATGAGGACTGTCCTCAATGGACGGTTTGTGTTGCAGATCAACGCTGTTATGGATATAGGTAATTTTTTTATCTACTATTGAGCTCTGTTGTTTGTTTTGTTTTAAATAAAACAGAAGACTGCACAATACATAAGTTTATTCAACAAATCACAATCAAAATCGATTTATGAATGCTGACACAAAGAAATGCCCGAAAGCTATGGCATTGGTAAATCGAGGGTGTGTAAAAGCGTGGCGCTCGCACAGCCGTTTTATACCAAGTCCCGCGTGCCGCCGCCTCTATAATCGATGGCCATAGTAATGCCCTAACAACTATGTTGTGTCTTCCAAGAAAAGAGAATTTTCCTTTTTAAAAAAATATAAACCCCTTGAAATTTATCCCCTAAATTTGTTCATACTAAAGTAGTCTCTAAACTTTGGAAATAAGGTCTATAATGTAGTTAGTGGAGAGTGTTCACTGGTGACTGCTTGGGGATGTATGAGTTAAGTCCATGAGTGGCACTGGTCATTCACCATTCATCTAAAATAGTACCTTTTCTTCAACAGACCACAAATCAATATTTAATGGTTTGTTTATATTTATTTGTTTATATAATTTTTATTTATTTATTTTATTTTATTATTTTATTTTATTTATTTATTCATGAACAATTATTACATTGTGTTTGAATTTGTACAATACACCTATATTCTAAAAATTATACATGCAATAATTAGCCGTTACAATTAATAAAGTTAAATGTCATTCCCTGTACTTGTCAATTCATAATTAATTATAACAAGATAAAACAATAATACACAAAATATAATAAAATATAGTCATGTCATCCATAAAATACCAAAAAAAAAACACACAACAACAATTCCAATAAATTAAGTTATAATTCGTCAACATGATAAAGACACTTATTTAACAAGAACTGTCTAAGCTTATTCCGAAACTCGCCTTTATAAATAAGACCTTTTATTTCCGTTGGCAGTTTATTAAACAGCTTTAACGACTTGTGGTAGGAACTATGCTTTGCAACGTTTAGGTGAGTCACTTGCTTCAACTGAAGATCTTTCCTTCTTGTGCTCTCCCTTCTTTGTCTTTCATCCTCAGTCTCATATTCAAAGATGTACCTAGACAAATGGGTAAGCAGGACCAAAATGTATAAACTTGGGACTGTCAGTATATTCAATTCATTGAAATGAGGCTTACATGATTCTTGCTGCTGTATTCCAACCATAGTCCTGACTGCCCTTTTTTGTATTACAAATGCTTTCTGTATATTGTAGTCATAGCTTCCACCCCAGAAAAGTATGCTGTATCTTAGCCTTGACTCCACCAATGCGTAATACACCATTTTTAAATATTTTATTGTCACATCGTTTCTGAGACTTCTAAGCACGTAACAGGCAGGGCTAATCACTTTCTCAAGGTATTTTAGCTCCTCCTTCCACCTCAACTGGCTATCAATATAAACTCCCAGAAACTTAACCACCTCTACCACGTTTACTTTTTCTCCATTAATGGCACAGTTAATGCTATCCTTATTTTTGGAAGTAGATCGAAACAGCATGACATTAGTTTTACTGGCATTAATTTTGAGACCGTTGACAGCAAACCAACTGTGGAAGATATCTAAGACTTGATTAACAATGCAATCAAGAGTGCGTATACTGTCAGCCGAAACAACAGCGTTAGTATCATCGGCAAACACCACAAGCTGTATAGATCCTGCAGCATTCTGCATCATATGTTGTATCAGGTCATCAACAAACATGATAAAGAATATCGGACCCAGTATGGAGCCCTGTGGTACGCCAGTGTGCACAGGTGCCAATTTAGATTTGTATGTTTCTTCAGTTAGACAGTTATTGCCTGAGGAATTTGTCCCTAACATCTCTGCTTTGATCTCTACGAACATCTTCCTGTTCTTTAAGTATGATGAAAGAAGAGCCAGCACCTTACCCCTGACACCGTAGTGTTCAAGTTTTTCTAGCAATAGTTTATGATCCACTGTATCAAATGCTGAACTTAAATCTAAGAAAAGCCCAGCTACTTTCTGTTTATTATCTAATCTACTCACTACGTCCTTAATCAGAGTCGATATTGCGTCTTGTGTCCCGACGTTTTTCTGATAACCAAATTGTTTTCTATTTATCACCCCATTTTGGTAGAAATGTTTAAGTAATCTAGACTTAATTAGCTTTTCAAAAATTTTTGAGTGAGTAGGTAGTAATGAGATTGGTCTGTACATCTTTGGATCCGCTTTAGAACCTTTTTTGTGTACAGGTATTATTTTGGCTATCTTCAGTTGATCTGGAAAAATTCCTTCATCAAAACATTTGTTGTAAAAAATGCTTAACGGTACCGCCAGTATATCTATATTATCCTTTATTACTGATATTTTTATGTCATCATAGCCGCAAGATTTTTTGTCGTCCATATTTTTCGTTATTTTAAATATCTCACGGGGAGTGACAGGGTCAAAGATCAGGTCATTAGTTACTCTTTTTGCACTCCTATGCAGAATATCCATGGCAGCTCCTGTGCTTGCGGTGGCTGATGAATTAATTTGGAACTGTTGAGACAAGATATTTACAATATCTGATGGTTCTGACACGATTTTATTGTTGGATTTTAAGATAATTTTTTTATTGTTCTTTACATTCCAAATATCCCTTGAAATGTTCGTCGACTTTGATAATTCATATTGTACTGATAACTTTTTGGCCATATTTATCACTTTTCTGTACAGAACTATGTATTTTTGTCGATAGTCCATCACAGTGTCACTTTGCCCATTCCCTTTGCCAGTACATAGAAATCGTTTCATCTTGCTTGAAACCTTCACACCCTTTGTGACCCAACGTAGTTGCGCTTTACGCGTTAAGCGCACCTGCATTTTTCTTTTCTTAAAACAGCGTGTAAACATTTCTTCGAATTGTTTCAAAAAAGAGTTTATTCCGAAATCACTCCAGTCATGATTTAGTAGCAAATTTCTAAAGTTATTTCTTGTATTTACACTGAAAATACGCTTGGTTATTTGAATATTACTAGTCTTTTTATTCCTACATAGTTCCTTAGTTCTGAAAGCTGTATTGCAAAGCAGTCCCGCATGTCCATCTGCCAATCCGTTATGATCGACATCACAACTTATCACACATTCATCTGACAAATTAGTAAAGACATTGTCAATACAAGATTGTGAGTCATTTCGAAAAAACGTGGTCAACTTAATTAAAGATCTGAAGTTATAACATGTCAATAGATTTAATAAGTCATTCCTTTTTTTATTGTCAGTTAATAGGTCAATATTGAAATCACCACAGATAATACAGTTCTTGTTAAAGAAATGTTCTAATAATTTTTCAAGACTAACCATAAAATTGTCTAGGTTTTTATCATAAGGAGTACGATAACAGCAACACACAGACACGCCAGTCAAAATATCTTTAACACAGCATATTTCAAAACTATCCATTTTGTACAATTTTTTGCCTATGGGTAGCTCATCACATTCCCTATCCGATTCTACTAGGATTATAGTACCACCTCTTAGCTTATTTACTCTGGTATTATATGATGCAACATTATATTTTGTAAGATTTAGTAATTGAATTAATTCTGCGTTAAGAAAATGCTCACTAATACACAAATAATGTGAAGGGTTTCTCAAACTCTCTAAATACATTTCCAATTCATCTTTCTTATTATTTAGGCCACACATATTTTGATGAAAGATATTTAAACAATTGCACAGTGAATTTTCTGCTGATTCGTTTAGATTTACTATATTTTTAACGTGGTTATTTACGAAAAAATGTATTTCTATCCAACATTATCTTCTTTTTAAAGTAGTAAGGAATGGTACCAGGTTGTAACTGTATTTTAGTAATTTTTGTAGTTGTTTCAGTACAAGATCGTTCATTATTTACTATTGGCTGTTTTGGGAAAGTTGATGTGTGGTGTGTGTCTGTTTGCATAGATTTTTCATCGTTAACTGTGCCGTATATCTTTATATCGATTTTTATATTCTCCATGATATTGTTGTACAAAGTTTTTATACCTTTTGTATTAATCTGGCCGGTTTTACTTGTGAACATATCATAAGCTAAGTAACTGTTTGAGTCAAAGTAATATGCATAGCTGTTTTCTTTCTGTAAGTCTTGATATAAGAGATTATTGAATAGTTCAACCTTATAATTGTAAATGGGTGCACCACAAATGTAGGTGGGACTGCATATTATAATATTTGTGTTTGTTATGTGCTGCAAAGATTTCCTCATTACTTTTACAAATTCTATATAGTTAGACGATGTTTTTATGTCTGTATTTCCCAGCATAATAATACAATAGTCATTGATATTATAATTAAGTAACTTATTGCTAATATTATTTAACAGGCGTTCTATGCTACCGTTGGTCAACAAATAACGACAGCACTCGAAATGATTGCCGAATATTTCTTCGATAGCTCTGATGGAGCAATTTCGATCACAATTGCTAAGGATACAGAGTTTATTTCTTTTTTGAACTATTGGATACACAGTATTCACATTGTTGTCACGAGGAATGATACTAGCAGAAGTGGCCGACAAAATAACATCACTTCGATTACCTAGAGAATCTTGCTGCAGGATGTGAATCTGTTTGTTTAGTGTGGCTATTTCTAACTTAGCTTCTGCCAATTGTTGTTCTGAATTTGAAATGGCCTGTTGCATTGATAATACAGTTTCATTATGTATTATCTCAGTTTGGTAGTCTTCTTTCCTTGTGTTAGGCGTTTTATTTATTAATTGTTCACAATTCGCATCTCCTTCCTTTTGATCAATAGTATTACACGTTTGTGTGATTTGCTCCATAATTTTAAAAGGCGTTAAATTTTTATTTGCGGTTTTTATCTTACGTTTACGTCCCGTAAGCGGTGTCATATTTATAATTTCTGTGGAATTGATTTTCTTATATGTGTCTATTATATTTCTACATTTCTGTAAGTCAGATTTCAGTTGCGTGTTCTCGGCATTCAGGTTATCTATCTCAGCATGAGCACTTTCAATGTTATTTGACATCTCCTCTAGTTTTTCGTGTAGTTCTAGGACAGTTTGACTTGCATTAATTGAGGTGTCTCGCAAGCTTAACATAGTTGTGTCAAATAACGTACAATTGTCTGCAGATATGTCATTTAGTGAGCTAGTTCTACGATATTTTCGAATAGTTATATTGTCATCCATTCTTTAGAAATGAAAAACAAAACAATATAATAATTATTTATAAACTATTTTTGAAGATGTTTCTAGTAGCGCCACCTGTTGTTACGGAGCGGCAACCACTTGCAGTTATTCCGCTTAGCTTAGTAGTACCGCTACTCGTCGCTAGATGGCGGTAGTCTCAAAAGGTATTAGTGTTTCTATCCTCCGCAGTTGCGCTAGTTTGTATGTCATCAATTCAAAATATTTTACTTAACGGTTTCACTTATTCAGTAAATGTTCACTTAGCATTATTTTTAGAGAATTTATGTATAGGTAATGTGACTTTAGTGCATACCTTAGTTATTTGCTATTCGTAGTGTAAAGAGTAGGTTTTATATGGTTGTTACAATATTATTTCTTCACGTTATACGTCATAGATTTCGTCACTAATCTTGTACAGATTCGGTAGATAACATTTCAGCACAATATTTGCACAGTTATATCACTACTATATTGTTCAAACTCACATTTTATTAGATAAATTTATTTTAAATAATTATTATCACGAGCACAGTCACAATCCAGTGTTTACTTGAGCAGCGCCATCTGGCGGATGATGAAATGAATGATGAATATTTAACTGCTCAATCCCCAAGTAGTCATCAATTACCGTTCTCCTCTAACTATATTATAGACATCGTTTCCGATGTATAGAGAAGAGACTACTTTTGCATGAACAAATTTTGGGTATGATATATCAATGTAATAATACTTATTTTTGTAAATTTTCTTCCTGTATAACCATGAAGAGACTGAATTTATATCTAAATTCGGAAGTGTCACTTGTTATCATGTTTTTCTAGGTACACCAGCCTACCAACAGTACTTGAAGTTGCAAAAAGTGAACATGGAGAATGTGGAGGCAACCACCAACTATGAGGATAAGATTTCCAGTCACAGGTAAAGTGATGGTAATGATGTAAATATTTAATGTCTATATTTTTAATGATGCAAAATATTGTAGTCCCATTTCACAGCAGACTTGGAACACGAACATGTATCAATCAGTACCTACCAAAAGAATGACATATCTGTACATATCACATGTTTTTAGCATGAAATAATAATTTTCTTTCTTACTTTCTTATAAATTACACTTTCAGTCAGTGTTAGGGACCTCTTCAGTCACGGAGAACCTAACGGGTTACCAGGGCTCCGGCTGGACGTGCAGGAGAAGGAACAGGCTGGTTTTTAGTCAGCAAGAGTCTAACACTCCCTCCCGCCTCACCCAGGCGGGAGCAGTCTTTCGATGATTTTCCTCCCCTTAAAAAAAGGGACCTCTTCAAATAACCATACCTGATTGAATAATTATCTTTTTGTTGTAACTGAGTGATGTGTCTGCAGTTTCTGTAGAACAAAGATGTTAATAAGTAAAAATTTGCAGACGGACTAGTAATAAAATACTCAACATGTTAGTCAACCTGCTCTTTCTATATGCAATAAAGGAAAAACTTTTATAAACCCTAATAAAATTACCAAAATCCACATACAAATGTTTATCCATTTGATACAAAGTTAATATTCTTTTATAATAATGTTGGAAACAAGAACATACATACGTATGTGTTAGTATACCACGTTGATATATTGTACCGAAACTCTCCAAAATTTTGTTCATACAAAAGTAGTCTCTAAACATCGGAAATAAGGTCTATAATGGAGTTATAGACGGTATTAGGGAAGAGCACAGATTCACTGGTGACCACTATTAACTGTTATTTAATTTTCAGAATGCTGAAGTTGTACATGACGGATGGTGTTCAAGAAATAACTGCTTTAGAATACAAACCAATGAGGAACCTTAGCTGTGACATCACACCAGGCTGTAAAGTACTTATAAAAGGTAAGAAAACGGTGTAACTCATAAATGTGAACTTTGTATGAAAACATTTCAGACATGAGCTCATGAGAGGGCTTACTCTTGAATCCAAGTCCGATCGATCGACATTGGTATTGTGAACGTACTCTTGAGCTGCAAAACTAGCGCCCTTTCCATCCGTATTGCGTAGATATTGAATGAACTAAATGGTATTGAGTTTGCCTTTAAATTCCGTACTCTGAATGCTATTTTAACAGCTACGATTAGGGTTGTATAGCTTTGACATTGAATAATTATTGAAATTTTAATGGATTGAAATTGTATTGACATTGAGATTTGTTTCAAGAGTAAGCACTCAAAATCTCATTAATAAAATTTCGCATTTTTGCCAGATACTCCTTCATAAAACAACTACATTCTACGCAAATGCATAATGTCCACATCGCGCACTCTGCGCCTAAAAAAGAGTCCCAATGTGACTTGAAACCTGTAGAGCTTCTCTCGAATATTTGGCGTGAGTAAGACGTAATTTTAATTAACTCTTTTGTATTTACAGGTCCTTTAGAATGTCGTAGAGGGCAGCTATTATTGACAGAAAGTGCCGTGGAGCTGCTAGGTGGAGAGGTACAAGAGATAGTGATTTCTAACTCTCTGGCAGGACAACTGTCTGCTAAATTAGGATTACCTATGACCCAAGGTAAGAATACAATGTTTTAGAAAATAAAATACCTATGACTGATTCTATAAGGCCTATTGTGCCCTAATTTGACCTCGAATATCTTTATTTGGAGCTGAAGTAAACATAACATCACGCCTTTTTTCCCCGAATGGGTAGGCACAGGTGCAAATTACGGCACTTAATGCCACTGTACAATGTAACACCCACTTTTCACTATTTATCTTGTAAGTCCCATGTAATGGGAGGTGAGTCTATTGCCATATACCGGGCACATTTCCAGACTCCGTACTACTAGTGAGACTTTTTTAAATACCCAGTTATACTTCCCGGGAATCGAACCCGAGACCCCTTGTCCGGCACGCATTTGCGACCATTCGGCCAACGAGGCAGTCTTATTTCAAATAGGTTATTTGATGGTATCCTAGCTATATTTGATTAAAATTGAACAAATCTGTAAGTCACTGAAGACCTATGTTCAGCAGAAGACATCATGTGGCTTATATGATGATGAATAAAATAGGCTACTAAGCTTTCTCACATCTGCCGAGTTTAAAAACTAAAATTGTCATTGAACTAAAACATAACTAATTACTTGTTGCATTCTGTGACTTTGTACTTAACAACTAAGTATTCTATTTCAGAATCAGACCTCAACTCGACAATGAACATTGTAAGAAACACAAATATACCAACACCACACACAGAAATGCCGCCGCCACACATCCAAGCGCCAACATTTGACCAACATCAAAACATGGATGAACCACCAAACTTTGCAGATGATGAAATAGACATAGATCAACTGGCTGCTTTAGAGGAACAGCTAGTAGACATACCTGCAAAGAGACGGCTAGAACCTCAAACACCAAATCCAGGAAAGAAATTCAAAACTGACACTGTAAACCAGTCCTTCGACTACCCAGATGATAATGACATATTTTTGGCAGAAGATGAAGACTATTTGAGGGAACTTGAAGCTCAGATAGATGCAAGCGATAATGAAGTTATAATATCACAGAATAAAGGCAATAATTCCGTGTCAGCGGACCCGTTTGTGTATATAAAGCAGATCAAAGATATGAATGAAAGAGATAGAATGGGTAAAGTTTTTACAGTAAAAGGGCAAATAATGAGTTTGTTATCTAAATTATCTGTGGGTAGAGATGGGTGGAGTTTAAAATGTACCATAGTGGATGGTACAGGGAGTCTAGATGTTGAGTTCACGAGTGATGTACTGTCTAAGTTAGTTGGTTATACCCCTCAAGAAATGAGTGCTAACAAAAGGCTGTTTGCTACAAGGCCTGACTTGAAAGAGAAGACTATTTCGGTAAGTTGTCAAATTTTTTTTTTATGGGATAAGCCAGTAAACGAGCAGACGGATCACCTGATGGTAAGCAATCGGCGCCGCCCATGGACACCTGGAACACCAGAGGCGCCACAAGTGCGTTACTGGTCTTTTGGAATTAGGAATTTGAGGATTGTTGGGGATTCAGGGATTAGGGGAAGGGAGGGGGGGGGGGTTATTGGGCATCCGGTAACCTCACTCACACGACGAAACACAACACAACGTTGTTTTACGTCGGTCTTCTGTGAGGCCGTGGTATCACTCCGGTCGAGCCGGCCCATTCCTGCCGAAGCATGGCTCTCCCACACTTAAAAAATATATGATACTTATGCCCCAATACTGAAAGGCTACTCAATTTTAGGTTATACTTTGTACGGTTTCATAACCGCACATGGCACGTATAGTCGACGCAGCAATATTGAATGCGCGTCACCCAATGCATAGCATATATAATTTAACGTTATACAGTAATCGTAGTAGTAGTACTTTATCTACCAATCAACGTCAAGCAAAGAAACACGACAGTTTTATTTGTCACACGCCTATCTCTGAAAGGGTAGGCAGAGGTGCTCATTACCTGCGACACTAAATGCCACTATACAATGTAACACGCACTTTTTACTATTTATGTTATGAGTTCCTTGTAATAGAAGGTGCGCCTATTGCCAATACCGGGCACAACTCCAGACTACTACTGAGATTTGTTTTAAAACCCATTCATACTTCGCCCGACCCGGGAATTGAACCCGAGACCTCTTGCCTGGCAGTGGCAGCACTTGCAGTCACACTAGGCCAACGAGGCAGTCATGAAATAACACTCAAGACATTTTTTCTATTTTCCAGGGTCTACAAAAAGCAAAGGATACACTACAAGTGTTGTATTGTATCATAGAGCTGACATTACTGGATGTGCCTAAAATAACAAATCTCACACCTTTCGACGCCTCACACATCGACCAGCTGAACAGAAGAAATATGAACTGATTTTATAAGTACTATGTTATTCCAGTTTATAAGTAGAAGAATGTAAATAATAAATACATTTATTTATTTTGTTGTAATAATGTATTTAGTTTTATTAACATATTAGCTTTTGCCACGACTTCGTACGCGCAATCCCATTTTCTCCCGTTCCCGTAGGATTTCCAGGATTTGGATTTCTTTGTCATAAGAACCTTCTCCTAATAATAACAGATTCAACAAAAAATAAATAAAAATATAGTGAACCCTGTCCAGCCGTTGTTGAGTTAATTATATTAACAGACATGGCAAAGGAATAGTCCTTTAAGGCCTAATAGACCAATAGTGGTCTATTAGGCCTTAGGCATATTTTGCCAGTCCATAATTTATTTGGCCATATTAGTCGTCAGTCGTCACAGCACATCCATATTCAGATAGGAAAGCAGGTTTAATCAGCAGCAGGATAAGAGGATAAATAAATAAAAAACAAGACAATAAAAATCCAAAGACATTTTACAACTATATTTTAATACACTTTTCGTAACTCAGTTATTGTGAATTCAATATTATACAAAAAATATCAAATAATTAACACAAGCTATCTAACGGTAGAAGACTAACATAATGACGTCAAATGCAATCGTAAAAATCATCTATAACTTGCAACACTACTTACAAAGCTAACATTTGAAATGGAAACACTAGATATTTATTATTACTGGCAACCCTTACTTCAAAAGTAGGGGAATTTATTTATTATTATTTAACAATATTGCAATCAATGAGTATATTTGTAAAATATAGCTTTACCTTAGGTAGGCTATATTTAAGTTTTATTTTAAAGTAATAATGAATAAACCATTATTTAGAAAAAAACCTTATCTTTGGTTTTTAAATAGTAAAAATAATTTTTCGACAAGCAGTGCAGATTGTAGTGATCACATAAAATCCTGAATGATAAAAGAATACAAATAAATAAGAGAAGTTTGAAATTTTAATTTAATTACAGAAAGTTCTTTGACTCTCACAGGATTTTATTATTGAAGAATACACAAAAACAATCGTCTGCAGATTTTCTATCATGTTGCATAATTTTATTAGCAACTGCGTATGAATCTAGTATTTTCATCTCAAATGTACATTCATGATAAGTGTAACAAGTCCTTAAAACATAATTAGTTGCACACGATAAAAGCAACAACTAAATTGAGCACTCAATGTTACATAATGCTTGTATTAAAACTTAATATGCGATTAAAAAATAAAATAGGTGTTCGGGAACCGACTAGTCGTGCGACTTGGCCGTTACCGCGAAGGTAGCCTAACCTTTTATAAAAAGTGTATGTACAACCTACAACGTAATGATGACAGGATGATATGAATAAAATAACATTAGTATAACTCCCATTAATTAAATGATTCAACTCATTTATTGATAGTTCAATTATCACTTAACTAAGTGAAAATAGTAGCAATTATTTATTATATTTATTAACCAGACAGTATTTGACGCGACCGTGTTGGGGTAACGTAACCATTTCTCACAAAATGGCACCAAGTTAATACAATAAATAGAAGTTAGAATATTCCAACAAGCCCGAGATCACACGGAGATCTAAGATTGCTATGTTTATCCCACTATATACAAACCGCTCGGTACACTCCAGGACAACGAACCACCGACCGACACTTCAGTACATTAAAATCGAGTAAAATGATTGCTTGGATAATATCAATAATGTAATCAAGATAAAACATTAACTATACATCTTATGAGATTATCTATATTTATGAATTTCATTGAAAAAGAAAATCACTTTAAAACTAGGTCTGATATAGTCGTAAAATTGACGTAATCGTTAACAGATAATAAATAACTTATCTACTTCGTTAAAAGCGACAGCCGATGCATGGGGGCATGTCGTATGAGTTGTAATGTATGCTTACATTCCTTTTGACACCGCAATGGAAGACTATCCATAGTCAGGCTGGGAGTGCCCGCTACCGTGATCACCTAACAACTTCCAACGGCCTCCAAAGAATAACTTCCAGCAAAAACACGATTACATAGTACAAACATAAACATCAGAATAAATACAAAACTTGAAAACCATCGACCAATTACGTACATCGGGTGAAACATTTAATCTTAATGAGATGAGTTTAAATAGTCGTATGTATCAATGTAACAATTTTATCAATTACATTGACCGGTATAAACACTACTCACCACTCCGGCGAATAACGTCGTAAGTGCATCGTTTCGTGCTTCCCGTCAATTCCTGCAGTTTAGCACTTACGTCGTTACTCTACCGCAGCGAATATTATATGATAATATATCCACGTGCAAGATACGTCCAGCAATAATATTAGCAAAATATTTCGTCATAGCTTGCAATATAGATATACCGCGATGTAAACAAATGCCACTCAAATATAATTTATACAGAACAAAGTTTGCCATGAACATTGTGACTAAGAATAGTATTCTGGAAGTTTATTATATAAAACTAAGAGTAACAAGCTTAGGATGTGTCTGTAGCGATGGTTGTGACACTCATTCTGTACAGTTCAGATAACATCAGTCGGGTATGTACTGTGTATATGTAGCACCCATAGCAACGAGCAAACCGGAACGTTTCACGAGGACAGCTCACACCCAGCGCTACTGACGTATATACATAAACAATTCATTAATAACATAATCACATGGCGGCGACGGCTAGCGCGCACCAAACATTTAGTTTAAACGAAAAAGCCAGTAAACAATAACGAAGCTATGTACAGCGCCTTCAGTAACGTAACAACATGCGACTCGCCTACGATATAACCGATCCTACCAGTCTTCCACTTAAATGCCAATCCACAAGTTTAGGCCGTGGGGAGTGCCGCGGCGCTTATACGATCCTCTCGTAGAACAGCAGGTAGGCCTGCGCCCTCAGCACCTTCTCCTCGCTGACCTCCGACACCATGCTGTCCGACACGTAGTACCACTTGCCCGGCGGGGGCTCCGCCGCCGACGCGCCCTCGCCCGACTCGTAGCCCGACAGCTCGGAGTCGGAGTCCCGCTCCGCGTCCCCGGCCGCGGCGGCGGGCGCGCTGTTGCCGCCCTTGGGCAGGAACCACCAGCGCGGGTCCCCGGCGCGCACGCGGCCGCGCACCTTGACGTAGGCCACGTAGTGCCCGCCGTGCATGCCGCCCGAGTGCTCCACCACGCCGTACAGCGAGTACAGCAGCGCGGTCTGGTTGCGCGCCACGTTGGGCAGCTTGCGCACCTTGTCCATGGCGCAGAAGGGCGCCAGGTCCAGCACGGTGGGGAAGTCCACGTGCTTCGACATCTTGCGGAACATGCAGCGCGGTCCGATCTGGAACCGCTTCAGGTGCAGGATCAATATGGCAGGCGGACTCGATACTAGGAATCGCTTCGTAGCGTTAGTGTATACAGTCTTGCCGTCTTTGCCGTTGATCCGCTCGGTGCAGGTCTCGCAGCCGACCTTGTTGTTCCCGGTCAGTAGTTCCAGCGCGGTGAACTGACTCAGACACGACTGAATGCTGCATTCATCTTCATCGCAAACATAGCGCGGTGATAGTGGACTCTGTCGTGAGTAAGGCATGAAGTCCCTCTGATTCTTCTCGGCTTCGATGTTGTTAACTTTGGGTTTAGGCGCGGGTGGCGGAGGCTCCACGGGTGCCTCCACTGTGACGGGTGATGGTAACGCGGGCTTCTTGGTCTTAGAATCCTCTAAATTGTACAAATTCAGTTTGTCCAAGTGATTGTTCAGGTCATTGAATGTCTTGCTCTCGGGCAGGGACTCGTAGCTACTCTCTCCGCTGTGTTCGAGCACACTGCGACATCCCTGCACACTGATGCCGCGGGACACGACCTCGTTGGAGTACTCGGGCACAAATGATATTCGCGACACTGGCCTCTCGAACTCTGTTTTCACGGGGGACAGTTTGTTGTGTTGCGGACTTGACAGGTCCAGGTTAATTTCGCTGGAGAGCGAACTATGACTGCCGAGCTCTTTGCCGTTAGTGGGAGAGTCGACGTTGTCAACAGTTTCTGTAGAGTTGTGTTTCGTAGCCTCCGGGCTGGCGACGCCGGAGTCGGGGTTGGAGAGGTTCTCCAGTGACATTAGAGGTTTGTATTCGAGAGGGATCGCAGTGGTCGAGGTGGAGTGGTCGGCGAACTCAACCTTGTCCTTGTCGACATGCTCGGGGGTGTTGTCTGCCTTCTCCTTGTCCATGTCGACAGGACTGGTGCGGATGGAGTCGGAGCTGATCACCTTCTCGGAGTTGTACCCTGACTCCATGTGGTAGGCGGCGAAGTTGGCGGCGGTGTGGGCGATGGCCTGCGTGCCCACCGACACAGTGTGGGTGTCGGGCTGGCGGGGCATGTCCTCCAGGTTGTCCTCCACGTCGGCATCAGATTGCTCCGACGATGACTTACCGTCCGCTTTGGCAGTGCCGTTAGTGTCTCCGGATGGCTCATCTTTGGACGTTGAGTTACCTGGAAAGATGAATTACAAATAAGCTTTTGATCAACTTGAAATTATAATACTACGAGTAATGGACACGAGTGTAAATAGCTGGCGTGACGTGCGATTAGTCTTGAAGCTTGATAGATACCGAGACAATTATGTTCCCATTAGGTGGTAGACAGAAGCTATGGTTGATAGATACATAGTATGAAGCAGAGAAAGATATGTGATGCGATGCCAGCCAGGCGAGATACGGTGACACGTCATAGTGCTAGAGCTACCACCTTTGTTCTTCCTGGCGGCTTTGCGCGCAGCTATCCGCTCCTTCTTCAGCTGATGTTTGGAAGGTTTCTCCTCTTGTGCATTGTAAACATTCTCTTCTGAAAATATGTTCTCTTGTCATTACATGCCTTAGTTACTACACATTGATTTGCGTTAACACTGCTCGATCATGTTTGCACTACATAATCCTACAGCCATTCCCTACAAATACTAATATAACACGATAGGATAGATTTAGAACCTCGAAGTATTTGAATGGAACCCATCAATAATATTGAATTGCTTCATGTGTATAAGTTGACACTCAGTGGTTCTACATAAATTAGGAGACATTACTGTACCTAATCTGATTACTTTAATTTTAGTGATCATGTGTATAATGTTAATAATTGTACACGTAAGTAATAACCGACACCATGTTAAAAATATAAAATTTTGATACAGATAATAAGTAGTAGTTGCTACAAGTTTTGTCTGCATCGGCAGTACTATTAATAATTATGAACGTAAATACATACAAACAGGTACATATTAATAAATCAAGTAGTGCAATACATCTCGAAAAGTGTAATCAAGCAAAGCGTGCCAATTTACTACGACATAATATCGTTTGAGGTAGAAATTGACAGAAATTATCACATTTATGCATCATAGAGGTCAGTAAAAAAACGCAATTTTTTATTGATTTGGGGAAAAATCTTAAATTGGAAAACATACAAGTTAATATTAGTTATAAAGACAGTTTCGTTTAATAGGCGTGGCACACAGTCAGGTCTGGATATCTTGTAACATCAGATTTATATCCTTTGAAATAGTTGGTCTAATGTGTACACCAATCTTTAGTTTGGGCAAACAAAGTACTATTATGTTATTAAAAGTGGCTTTAGAAGATTTATGGTGAATAAATGGCTGTCGTATTTGTTCGAAGTATTGTGTTTATTTAGTATGGTTTGATATGCTACTGAAAAATAAAACAGGTGTGTGTTGGTATGTACCCTCTACCACTATTGTGCAGAGTACACTAATACATCTATAGTTTACCAAATCATGAGTATATTATTAAGGTTTCATGAAGCCCATCACATTTATGCCTGCATTTCTTTATTGTCATTATAGTTTTGTATTTGTTATAGAATAAGCCGGTAAACGAGCAGACGGGTCGCCTGATGGTAAGCAATCGGCGCCGCCCATGGACATCCGAAACACCAGAGGTGTTACAAGTGCGTTACCGGCCGTTTGGGGATTTGAATTCGAGGTTGGTAATATTGAGGAGAGTAATTGGGCTTCTGGCAACCTCACTCACACGACGAAACACAATGCAACTTGTTTCACGTCGGTTTTCTGTGAGGCCGTTGTACCACTCCGGTCAAGCCAGCCCCTTCGTGGCGAGGCATGGCTCTCTCACACTTGTGTACTTGGCACATTAACAATACAGGATAACAATTTACCCATACATCTAATCCATTTACAACATGTAGATAGATAATGGGGTTAGGTAATTATTATTTTGTGATACATAATTATTATGAGTAAATGTTATAGATTAGAACTGACTACTATTGATGACCACAACGATGAACACAAACGACAAAATTTACACCCACAAATTGTTACCATACCATATCTATAAATTAGTTTTATTAATCCAAGGTTACAGTTCAGTATTTCAATTATAAAAATTTAAAGAAGTCTTTAGAAAACCTTACAAAAACTGTTTCATTATAGAATGTTTTAACACCCATTTTAATTAGAAAACCCGACCAACCTGTGTGTAATCCAAACCATATAAACAGCTCACAAAAGTCATAGTTATTAGAAAAAACTACACAACAGAAAGACAGCACAGAATATAATTATACTTTGAAAACATACCGTTTGGTGTTTTCCTGCGGACAACTGCTGGGGGCTGTGGACGACTGGCAGCAACCGGTAGTGACAGGTCAAGGAAGTATTCTGCCCTGTCTGACTGATGAAGACATTCTTGACATTCCAAGGTCGATACTAGGAAGCCACGGAACACCTGGAATAAGAGATCACGTTTTTTTATTACAAAAATAATGTGTATGTGGTTGTGTGGTTGCATGCACGACTGTTTTATTTACATAGGTATTTTATTGATGCGACATACATCGGCCTATACGTGGCAATTGCTCACGATAGGCCTCTTCTCACACGGAGGAGGTTTGAGCATCAATCACCACGCTTGCACAATGCAGGTTGGCGATTACAGACTTATTAATTAGAAATTATAACCCAAGGTTTCCTCACGATGCTTTCTTTCACCGTTTGTCAGTGGTGTCTCCATAATCTTAGAAAGTACGTATAACTCGGAAAAAGTCACATTGGTACAAGCCGTTGGTAGGTTTCAACCCGTGCCTTCATGCATGAGAAGCGGGCGTCATAAACCTCCGGGCCACCACGATGGTTTTATGGATGGGTCACACCGGGATTTCAATCTCAGTTAGACAAAATATTATTGAGTTTTGGACTTATCATAATTTTATATAACCATTTATTGTTAACTGGAAATATATCAAGCCGAAATCGAAAAGTAGGTGCTTTATTACCTTAAAATACTTAATAAAGTAGTTGGACAAAAAGATATACTAGGTCGCATAATTTACTTCAGCAGAATAAAACTAAATCGTGTCCAGTTGAAAAAGTCATGCAAATGATCAGAGCAACCTAATAACTAAGTACTATTACAGTAGGCCAGTAAAATATTGGTTTTAATTATCACACGCTACTACGGCATCAATTATACAAAACTAGTACTCACAAAGCAATCATAATACAATTTGTACAATTCTAAACTAGAAGCAATATAAATGTTGATTCATTCAAACTCGATCATATTCAAAATTATGAATTAAAATGCATAACGGTAAAATGGGGGTGAATAGAGTTTGAGCGGCAAAAAGGGACAGAAGAAGGGTGAGTCGATACTATGAAGAATTTCTCAATATCTATTCACCCTTCTTCTATCCCTGTTCACCTCTTGATCCTTATTCAACCCATTTTACGGCAGTCGGTACTCCTAAAATTCAAAAAACGCAGGCAGGAAAAACGGGACGGGGGGATTTATTAAAATGTATTATTGCGCGCACTTCATTTTCATTTTACTTGCGTGCAGTTTCTAAACGTCGTAATGTTAAGATTATTATTTTCTCAAAGCAAAATAGATCAGACAGACTTCTATGGGCATTTGATATGTCCTCATTCTGAATAGAAAAATTAATCATCGAGAAATCATCATATAGCAATAGGCTCACCCCCTATTACATGGGACCCATCACATAAATAGTGAAAAGTGTTTGTTACATTGTACAGTGGCATAATGTGCACCTCTGCCTACCCCTTCGGGGATAAAAGGCGTGATGTTATGTTATGTTATCATCGAGGAAAAACTATTTTGGAAAACGTCAATACACTCACAAGAGGCTATACAAAAAGGCTATATAGAATTTTAAGTGACGAGTACTCTATTAATATGAAGTTCAATGCTTTCTAATCATATTTTTAATTTCTAAGGCAAAAACTATCACTGTACAAGTGTACAACTGCTATAACGGATCAAAGGGAGGAAGTGGGGGAGTCACACGAAAAATCTCAATCTCATCATATAAAAGTGTACTCCCGGATCTAATTTTATACCTTGATTACCTGTTCTGGTCTCAGCATCGTGTCAGATGCCTGTTGTCCGTAGAATTTGACCTTCTGTTTGACCTCGCCGTCGACCTTCGCTGGGTCGACCTTGGAGTTCATACCAAGGCTGCTCAGTATCACTGACTGATAACGACGAAGGTCCTCTGACCTGAAGACAGATGAGCTATTGTTGGTACATTTGTGTCAGAAGTGTGTAGTGTTATTCTAGTTGTGTATTTAGAGATTAGAAGTCAAGGCGTACTTATAACACAATACTAGGCATTCATGTCTGCGAGGGACATGCAGAAATTGGGTCTTTACTTAACTATACTTGCTCGAATTAGCGCTTCAATGATATACTCAACCATGAAGTACAATCTATCACTTGGTATGCCCAAATACAAAGTCCCTTCTTCGGTGCTAGATTTGAGCAGAATAATACCAAAAATAGCTAATTGTGTTCAAGAGCATCGTGATTCTTTCTTTTCTTTTTTTAAAAAAACGTTGCCCCACACTACGATTTTCTCCTGTGTCGTGGGTGCGTTTACAAACATACAAGTTCACATACACAATGACACCCAGACTCGAAACAACCATTTGTGGATCACACAAAGTGTTGTTCCGTGCGGGAATCGAACCCGCGACACGTTGCACGGCAGCCGGTTGCCCAGCCACCGCACCAACCGTGCAGTCAATTCTATTAAGTGATTCTAATATTATAATTATTAGATGGAAAGTGTAATTCTAATAATGTCGTTAACATTCTGTAAGATACAGCTTGTACATGTACAGTTTCTCTCGAGTTCATACCTGACAGCCTCTAGGAGATGCCTGAGCAGCTCATGGGCATCATGCTGGTCGCCACCACCAAACTGCGGTAGCTTGTTCACCAGCGCAGACAGGAGCTTCCTAGGCGTGTATACACCACCTTCTCCTGGAAATAATGGAAAGGTTTTTTATAATACTTGGGTTAATAGCTAGTGCAACTGATAAGTCTTGGAAATTAATTACGAATTTCATCTTAGGTAGTTAGTAGGCTTTATGCCTAAGGTACCTTGAAGCATTACTTCGAGTTGACTCATGACAACATTATGTAGAGAGTGCAAGAATCTTTATGTCAAGTTTCATATCATTGGCATCATTACGCCTTTAGTAATCGAACTCCAAATGTCACACGTCTGAGTCATCTGTTTAATACTTAAAACTTAGTAGTGTTCAGTCAACGCAACAAATACGATCCTTTAAATAATTATGGGATTCAGAATACAACTGCTAACCCCACGAGAAATAAAATACGTCATTTTAATCATGCGTCGTAAATAGATTCTGGCATTGTGGAGATAGATTTCAAAAAACCTACGCACGAAAAGTAAAAAGAAAACATTGTGTCTATTAAAATAGTCATTTATAAACTATGTTACTTCAACTCCCTGTTTTGTGGAAGTCAGTTACTGAATATATAGGTACTAAAACCTCTTAAGTGTAACAAATACTTTCTGAAAACCGTATCAAAATCAGTTCAGCGAATCGCGAGAAAATAGCACACATACATACAGGTCAAACTGAGAACCTCCTTCTTTTTTAAGTCGGAAAAAAATACAGTTTTCATGGACAGATAAAATGAAGTAAAAATAAAAGAAAACACTTCGTTGTCAAGTTGTACTGACTTGAAATGCAAAAATGTGACAATCGATAAGCCGCTGAATTGTTAAGTGACGGACATTATCATAGGGTACCTACTTTAAACGTGGGAGGAATATCACCTGGATCTAAAATATTCACTAGGCGTTTACCCCGGCTTCACATGCATGCAACTTTCCCAGTACATTTTATAAAAAATATTATATTTTTTTTATAATTTATATTTGATGGGTCGACGTTTGATCATTATCTCGCCTGGTGCTGTATTTTTGCTGACAATATAAATTATCATCTAAATATTACCTACCGACTTGGTTGATTGAATTGAACATATTATCGAGATTGCAAGTAGTCGCACGCGCGATTAAGGGGTTTTGGGTTGCATTCTCGGCACGGGGTATTAAGTATTATTGAGTATTATCGGTGTCTGAATAGCAGAGAGCTTTGGATTGTACCGGATTTATGGTATAAGACCTACATACAATACATAGAATCATTAACGTCCTACGAGAAATAAAAGGAGTTATGTAAAGTTTTAACCAAAAAATTCTTAACACAATATTTTCGAACTTTTTATAACGTTGCTTAAAAGTATAATAAACAGTTAAACAGATTAACGTAGCACAAGCACATATAACCCTGAGTCGGTGTTTTCCTCACCGATTGCATAAATACTTATAATCTTGAACGCATGTAATTGCGCCCTCACCTTGATCGTACATACCAAGTAAAGACAGAGGCTAAATTCATACCTATATTTATAGAATTAATTATTATTTTGTCCATATTTATAAATGTAGGGATTTACGGAACATTGCCCCGTTTGTGCGAAAGGTAAGAGGGATTCTATTATTGAGATAATCTAGAAAATATAGAAAGTTCTCTGTAATGGTAACAGAGTCTGATGGTGTCGTGCTATGGCCGCGCCATCCGCACGTCCTCTTTTTTATGAGATAGATCGGCAAACTAGCAAAAAGACCAGGGAGCCCCCTGATGATAAGCAATCGGTGCAACCCATGAAAGAAGAAAGAAATAATTTATTTGCTCATAATGAAAGTATACATATAAATTGGAATGATTAACTAAAAATCGCGGGTTACTCACGTGAATATACTGAGAAAACCTCTACTAGTTTCAAACCACAAGTATACTGATATGGGGTTCTTCCGTATCACAATGTAATACCCACTTTTCACTATCTATGTTATGAGTCCCATGTAATAGTCCCCTATTACATGGGACTCATAACATAGATAGTGATCGTAAGTAAGTTAGAATTCGTAGAAATGCCCGACCCGGGAATCAAACCCGAACCTCCTCAGACTTGCGACCACTCGGCCAATGAGTGAGTAATAAGTAAATATAATATTAAAATATTCAATGGAAACTATCTACCACTACATTGTACTGTTATTTATATAAAATGTACATAGTAATGTCGAATGCGTCGGCCATGGAGCATTTACATACACACAGTTTACATAAGGAATTGTAAATAAGAATAACGGGAACCATTTGACAGCTAGAAACAAAAAAATCTATTGCTAAAAAAAGGTAACGCTTTAAGCATTGCGTTAGCGCTAATCGTGTGGACAAGGCTATTAAAACTGATAAAGAAATCGTGACTCATCTAGTACTTAATTCTTTCAGGAAGTTAATTTTACTAAGTTTTTCCTTTTGAGAAATAGATGCCAGAGTAGGTAGTATTATGATGATAGTTGGCAGCAAAAATTTAATAGGATAGAAATTGTATACACAACTGCAATTAATGACAAGTTGAAGACAAGCCAAATGATTCTTTGTATATGTTTTTAAAATAAACTTTGCCCTTACTAGGACTTTCTCCTGTGTCATGGATGCGTTTACAAACATACAATCTCACATACATATGACACCCAGACCCAAAACAATCTATGGATAACACAAATAGTTGTTTCGTGGGGGAATCGAATATAAATTAATTAATTGAATGTAAATCTAAATATAATATCGAATATAATCAGGGATAATTTCAGAATAGGTTTTTATTAAGCTTTTGTACAATGAAAATCGCCAACCCGCATTGACCAAGTGTGGTGATTAATGCTCAAACCTTCTCCAGGTGAGAAGAGGCTTTGCTCAGAAGTGGGCTTCATAGGCTGTTGATGTGTGTACAATGAAATCATAGAAGCGGTTTTACTTTCCTAGTAAATGTCATGGATGTGTTATTTTTATTTGTAATAGGATGTCAAAACCATTTGACTATTTACAATTAACTGGCAAGAGGCTGCGCCTCTTCACCGTAAGATAAAAAATAGCCTGTGTTATTTCAGACCATAAACTAACCCATAAACTTCTAAATTTCATTCTGATCCCTTCAGCCATATGACATGATTGAGTAACAAATACACACAAACTCACATACTTATCTTAAACTATAATATAAAGCTGAAGAGTTTATTTCTTTAAAAGTGCTTCTGTAGAACTACTGGTCCGGTTTGAATAATTCCTTATGTGTTAGATAGTGCATTCATCGAGGAAGGTTATAAAACATCACGCTATAACCAATAGAACCGAGCAAAGCGGGTGAAATCGCGCGGTAGTAGCTATAATATTAATAAGATGCTCAGTAGTTATGAAACATTGGCTAAGTTCTACAATACAAGTTCAAGATTAATAATTCAATGTCAATGTGTTTTAATATTTATCAAAATATTGTCCGTATCTGCTTTATCAGTGCTTGGGGCATACATAAATATGATAACACTACAATTTTATAATTACTTTTGTGCCAAATAATGGTATGAATCTCTTCCTAGTGACAGAAATGTCTATTTTTTAAGGAAAATATAAAATTGCCTAATTGACACCCAAATACTGAAAGGCTACTAAATTTTATAGTCATAAGTACTTAAATATTGTGCAATCTTTGTCATTTTACAAAGAATTTGAAGTAACAGAACTATACTCAAGTATGAGTTAAAATTGACAAGGGTTAGGTAGCACATCAACTCATAACTTAGTGCTCAAGAGTGGCATGAGGGCAGTCTTTAGTGTCATATGATATCATTCGGTAGTTAGTTACAGTATTCCAATGATAATCATATAATATCCTGATAGAATATAGAAAATTGAATATTAATACCACATTTGTAAAGAAAGAACCAATGTTACTGTACTGTGTACTGCACAATCAACTATTAACATTTCTTTCTTTTAAACAATAAACAAGATACTGAAATTTCAAATCTACAATAGCAAATAACTAAAGAAAATTAGCTATCCACCCATAGCAACTAATACTGCCATAATATTTTGTATGTTAAGTGTTAAAATATATTTTTAAAACATGTCCAGACTGTTAGACTAGACGGGGGAAGCGTGAAATCAGGTCACAAATCTAATTATAGGTAACCTATGTTTGTGGGTTGGCTACAAATTGTGCTTGAAGACATCTTGTCAATACTATATACATGTGATTGGATTTTACAGTGTGTAATATTGAAAAACAATGTTAAACCAATAGTTAGTTTAAGTAAAAATGTAATGTAAACAGATATAAATAGTAGCACTAATACAATTTTATATTTATTTGTATCAATAAAATTTAACTTTTAATTTCAAAATTATTATTAATTTTTAATTGAGATAATAGATCAAAAACATCTGTAAAATATTACATTTAAGTTTATGTATGTCAACACAACACTTGCAAAAACATAACCCTGACTATAAAGGAAAGCAGTATAAAGTTAAAGATATTTAAAATATGATTACACAACTCAATAATAAAAAAACAAGTTTATAATAAGAAAAACATTGAACCTAGAAGTAAATGAAATCAGTAGTAAAGCAATGCAATTGTAATCAAACAAAGGTTTTGTTTATAAATGAAAACAGTATGACACATTAGCTTTATAAGGACAAAGGAAATCATTAAATGTTATAATTATCAGAAATGTTGAATCATTTGAGAAATTAAAATAATATTGAGCTTTTAATTAGTAGATTCTGTGCCACTTTCATACATATCTTATTGTAATGTATTAAGGTTGCAAATAGTTACAGCTGTTGCATTATAATGTTAACAAAGAAATCAAATAGCAATGATTATAACCCTACCAGCTGTAATAAATCTTAATAAAATACTGCAAGTTTAGTAAGTTAGATATTCACATATATTATTCTGAATAAATATAATTATTTACTACTTATTCCTGAAAGTTTGTATTAGTGTGCCACATGTTTCTTGTTCAATGTTTTTGTTGTGATTGTGAATGCAATAAAAAAAGTAGATAAAATATGTAACTGGTTCGTAAAGATCAATAATTTCTGTTAATGCACACAAATGTTTCTGCATACAAAGATACAGAGGTAATAAATTCAAGGTTTATGTTGCACTACATTAACAGTTATCATGCCAATGTTAAATAGGAAAATAATGACTGAATCAATTTCTACATACCTGCCTGTAGTTCACTCAGAGTCTCAGCTAGTGTGCGAGTTAATGATCCCCACTCAGCCAGCTGGCCTGTTATTGGAGGCAGCTCCACCTCCTTGCCATCATCACCATCAGGTTTCAACTTCAACTTTCCACCAGGCAATGTAAACCTCTCCCCTGGATTAGCCATCTCCTGTAGAACTTGCAATAAGTATGGTGTTTGTACCAAACATTGCATGACTGAATTAAAAAAGCATGTGTTTCCTAAGTTAGTAAGTCCTCGGACCCTCGGTAACCCATTAAACATGGCTTTGTCTTTTCCTTTTGATAATGGGTCAATTTTAATTATAGTTTCTACAGTTGCTATGTCAGTTTTAGAGTCCTGAATATAAGGCAGTTCTATTGGAGGGAGTGATTTAGTATTCCCACCTCCAATAGCCTGTTTCTTTAGGTATTCTACGCATTCATGGAGCTTCTTAGCACTTGAGGCTGTAACTTCATTGCTGCAGTTGTAACAGTAGATGTCCCAGGTTGTGGTATTGGCTGTGAGTGCATGGCAGTCAGAGCGCGGAGTCTGGAAGTGATTCAATGCGTGCTTATTGCGCGTTCGACCACACAACTGCGAACCACAACGCAAGCACATCCACAAAGAAAGATCTTCCTCATAGTCGGGGTCAGGAACCTCAATTTTAGGCGTTTTCTTGCACTCAGAGCAGTCCTTTTGGAAACCACCAGTTTTCAGCGCCTTCTTCAGCTGAGTCAGGTCAACGGCTTTAGCAACATGAGGACATGCGGATTTGACGTTCTCGTCGCAAGATTCCGTAGATTCGTCGCCATTCTCTCCAGGATCGCTTTGTCTCTTTTTCTTAACCATTGTCACGTCTCAATGTAACCGCCTGCAACACGTAACAAGATACATGTGGTAAGAATAACCGCACTAACACAAAAAGAATAAAATGTCAAATCTATGTCGATAGCCATTGCACGCGTGACAACGCACATTCATCGCGTATGGCCCTCAGGAAATGTGCAATCATGCCAACGGACTATAAATAAAATTATCACCTACTTACAGTTACATACGACGGTGAAAAACTATCTTTAAAACAGTGAGTATAACAAAAAGATTAAGTTTTCCAATTTTGTCAGAAAAGTGTACCACCGTCAACCATCTTTCTCTATCAATGTTACCAATCTAATTGAGAGTGGAAAATAAAAAATAACCAATTTACATCAAATCTGAAGTGATAGACTGCGAAACTTCAAAAAATCGACTAAAAAACAATTTCGCAGCTGTCAAATAACCATCAAAGTGGATCACCTCTACTCTTATTAACGCCATCTATTGACAAATAGAAAAACTAAATTTCTGAAACGTCAACATGATCGTGATGGAATCTGCTAATCAAATTGTGAATTTTCATTGATTTTTGTTAAATTTACGGCGAAATTTGTGTATAATATATAAAAATTCAGTATTTTGAAGTGTGACACCACCATTCTAAGTGTTGTAAATATGTCGTTTGTTGGTAGTTGCTCAAATAAATAAAGTGGAAGAAGTTGTTGTTGGTGATAAGTTTGTGTTGAAAATTTGCAAAAATGTCTTTACCTGGGAATGGAATCTTCGTGGTGCAGGGCGAGATGGCAATGCTCGTCACTGCCATGCGACGGAGCACTCGCTGGGGCTCGCATTCGTTCCCAAACGAAGAGTATGACGTATTGATGAGAACATTCCAAGATCTTAAGACGATCTTGAATCAAGTGGATGATTTACGGCTCCTGGACCCTGCGACGTATTTGAGCCCATTCCTGGAAGTCATCAGGAGCAAGGAGACCACTGGTCCTGTCACCAGTTTAGCTCTCTCTGCCATACATAAGTTTTTATCCTATGGCCTAATAGGTAACTGATTTTTTCTTATTATTTTATAACTAAACATAGTATCGCATCTTTTTAAACTTGAGGGGGTAGGCAGAGGTGTACATATTTATTGTAATACTCCATTATCACTAGCTAGGAACTTATAGTTCCAAGGAAATAGCCAAAAACCTACTATCATAAAACGGGCATATTATATTAGGAACTTTCGTATCTTGAATTAATCCTAATATATGAAAAAAAATGTGACTGAAGATTTCGCTTATTGCTTACATTATTGATATTTTTTGTTTCATAGATACACAATAACTAAATGTGAATGTTGCAACAAATAATATATTTGATGTAACAAATCAAATTTAATGAAGCTTAGTCTGTTACCCTAACAAGCAGCATGCAAGTAAACGAACATCATGTCTGTAGAATAATAAAAAAAAATTAAAACATACTTTCTGAAATGAAATATCCATTTTTCCTGAATGTTTTGATATGAGGTGTCAATTAATCCTCATACTGCTGCCTAATCAGCTACTACATAGTTAGTAATCAAATGTCTTCTATTAGGTTTTACAACCATAATATATAAATGAAATAAAATAAGCCTTTATTTCTAAGGTTACAAATTTACAATTAATTTACTATTATTATGCATCACTATTTTCATCCCCAGCTTGTCCTTCGACATAGGCCAGGAGGCCAGTTTTCCCTTTCTCTCGCAATTCTCATCCACTCTTGTCCAGCAGTTCTCCTTGGGTCATCTTCCCAATGCTTTGGTTGTCGCCCTTTGCTCCTTTTCTCATTCCTGGGGTACCTTTCTGATATTGTCTTTGTCCATTTCATATTCTTTTCTGTGATCATATGCCCTGCCTTTTCAATCATATTATCTTTAGATCCGTTTTACCTTAAAGAGATTATATAAAAATAGGATTGTTTATAACTATTTAAAAATTCATTAACATGTACTTAAATAAGTTGTTATAAATTTTTGAATTGACTATTAGGTACTAAAAGCTTATTTATTATATTGAATTGAATGAGTATAAGTTTGTACCGAAAAATGATCGGTCTGTCCTGGTAATAAGGCTCTGTCTATAACAAATTGCAAAAATAAAAAATAAGGCAATTGAAAATATATTTATGCTAAATAAAACATACTATTTATTACAACTACCTATTGTAATTAAAGAATAGTTGCTTTATTTTAAATTGATTAATTGATGGAAGTTGATTTCCGTTTAAAATATTAATTTGCTTAACAGTGTACTTATCGACATAATATAATATATTAAGTGTGTCACTAGGTACTTCAACCATTTACTTAAAACAATGTTATCAGAAACATATAGAAAAGTATTACCTATTGCATGAACCATAGCCAGATTTTATCTATACTAATATTATAAAGCTGAAGAGTTTGTTTTTTTGTTTGTTTGTTTGAACGCGCTAATCTCCGAAACTACTAGTCCGATTTGCAAAATTCTTTCTGTGTCGGATAGCCCATTTATTAAGGAAGGATATAGGCTATAAAATGTCACGCTACGATCAATAGGCGCTGAGCAGCGCGAGTGAAACCGCGCGGACTTAGCTAGTTGGGAATATATTCTCACCTTGTGTACTTTCTCATTATTTCTTAACTAACTGCCCGCGGGTTCACCGGCTTTCTCGTGGAATAAAAAGCCGCCTACGTGTGAATACAGACCATAATCTATCCCTGTTCCAAATTTCATCCTAATCCCTTTAGCCGTTTTGATGTGAATGATTAACACACATACAAACAAACACATAAAGTTTCACATTTATAATTTTAATCGGCATCAGCCCTGCTAGGCCCCATCTGTGGTGGTCTGATGGCTCCTTGAGGCGCGCGCGGAACGCGACGCCCCGTACGCTCGGGCCTGGTTCTGTTTGGGCGGCGAGTAACCCGTGCTCGCCGTCCGCAGGCCCGTGCTTACGGTGGCCGGAGATCGTCTCGCGGCAGTCGGAAACTTACCAATACCACAAAAAATTGGTCATGGTGCATGCTGAGGGCTTTATCTATGTGTAGTACATAATTAATTGCATTGCTCTATTGTTATTTAAATTCCTTTCAAGTTGTATTGAGTATTGATAAGATCTAGATATTTATAAAACATTCATTTACTATTGGTACAGGTAGATAATGGATTTTCAACTTTATTTGAATAGAATTAAAGTGAAAATCAATTGAAATCTTCACAAGTATTGATAAATTTATGACCACTTTTATTGCTGGTATGGTGTTCTCGAGACATGTAGTCTGAAGTGTACTGAATTGAGATGAACTAGTTATAAGATATATATACATTTAAAACTAATAAAACTTAAACACTTCTTCACGTTCAAAGTTGCAAAATAGAAATCGAAAGAGGCACATCAAAATCTACAAAATTACCAATTTTCAAAACTCCCGGAAAACATTTCAGGCTGGACTACCAAATAACTGAACTATAAGCAAATAAAAGATAAAGAAAACAAAAAGAACTATTTAACTACAAAGGTTGTCACAAAATTACAATATTATTTTAACAAAATTATGTTTTCTTGTAATTTTTATATCACTTGACCAATGGAACGGATTGTCTGTTTATAATCTTAATTGCACAGTTGGCGCGGTGGCTGGGAAGCTGGCTGCCGCTCAATGTGTCGCGGGTTAGATTTCCGCACGTAACAACTGGGTCTGAGTGTGATGTGTATGTGAATTTGTATGTTTGTAAATAGTAGTGCGGTGCAACGCTTAAAAATAGTCTACTCTAATCATATTAAAAATCCATTTCTGTTTGTCATAGACCCGACACATCCAAGTGTGCCTGCGACAGTAGAAGATATAGCGGACGCCGTCACCCACGCCCGGTTCGTCGGCACAGACCACTCTTCAGATGGAGTGGTGCTGATGAAGATCTTACAAGTAAGTTTGAACTTCTTATGTTTCTTTATGACAGAAGGTCATATTTTAAAAACACATAACATAACATCACGCCTTTTATCCCTGAAAGGGTAAACAGAGGTGCGCATTACGGCAATTAATGCCACCACTGTACAATGTAACACTAATTTTTCACTATTTATGTTATGAGTCCCATGTAATAGGAGGTAAGCCTATTGTCATATACCGGGCACGATTCCAGACTCCGTGCTATTACTGAGTTTTAAAAACTTTGCCCAACCCGGGAATCGAACCTGAGACCGCTTGAAACAACATTATACCTATGCTATATTCAAGTATACATATAACCAGAGTTAATTAACTGTATAATAGCTGTATCAGCTGTATGATAACTATAGCAGTTGGAATAAACAAATGAATTGTATATCTCGCATTTCAGTTTCACGCATCGCATTTTCTTAAAACGCTATTGTCCTCTTAGCGACTGTTTCTGCATCTTGTATCTATCTATGTCATGTATCCAATGTATTAAATTGAATGTTCTTTATTACAAAAGAATAAGGTTTAAATTTGTTAATGAAACTGAGTCAGTAACCGATTACTAATGTAATCTTTACCCGTACGTCGAATGAAGTCATCATAACAACGCTTTTTATCCCCGAAGGGGTAGGCAGAGTGTACATTACGGTATTTAACGCCACTGTACTATGTAACACCTACTTTTCACTATTTAAATTATGAGTCCCATGTAATAAGGGGTGAGCCTATTGGCATACATCGGGCACAATTTCAGAGTCCGTGCTACTACTGAGATTTTGTTAAATTCTCAGTAATACTTTGCCCGACCCGGGAACCGAACCCGAGACTCCTTGCCCAGCAGACGCACTTGCGACCACTCGGCCAACGAGCCAGTCGAATGAACTATACAAGGTGTAGTTTTGAAGCCGTGTCATTTCTGTACGGGGGCATGTCACAGAAGTCATAAAGGTTCAATGTAAGAGAAAGTTTTGGGCCAATAGTTAAAAAAACGGCTAAAATAAATCGTTTAAGTTCGACAGTATTTCAGAATAAGCGACAGTGATGTTTCTTATTGGAG